ACAATAAAATTAAATTACATAATTCCAGCATACAATGACACAAAATACACATTCTCACTCTAAAGAGAGGGATGCAGAATAGTGAGGAAATACTTGACCAAAGTAAAACCAAACCCAGCAGGAGAAGCACTAAATCCTAGGGCTCCGCGTCTGGTACCTGGGACTTTAGCTTCAGACGGTTCCACTTAAAGCTCCCATAGCTTTTCCAGACAGAGCCATCACTTTGGGACTGAGTTAAAACAATAAGCCTACAGGGGACATTTTATTTTCTCACCACAATACATGCTTCTTTATCTCTGAGCCTCTGCTTCAAGTATGAGGATCCCTTGTCATCACACTGAGCTCCCATAGATACCCAGAACAACCCTCTCATCCCATGATCCTTACCCACATTTGAAACATCCCCTTGGCCATGAAAGGTAACTTAATCACAGGTGTTCAGGGGCAGGTGTGGTGGTCTTTGTGTGCAAGGCATTATTACGCTTACACAAAGACACAAAGAGGCAATAGATTTGCAACAAGAACGGCTGCCTTTTAGTTACATGAGTTCAGTCCTAAATCTTAGCACCCTCTTCACTTTGTTTGGTATAAGCAGTTTTTTTTTTTTTTAAATAGACAAAATTCCATCATCACCCTGGACACAGAAATTGACTTAAGTACACAAGACACAAATTACTATTTATTATTAGATAAAAATCAATTGCCCCTGAGTTCACTACTTTAATTTAGAGCATATATAATCTAGCGCTCACAATCATGTACCTTGGAGAGCTCCAGCTCCAAGGATGGTGCCATAATTCCCAACTGATGTTTCTTTCCTCCACAGTGAGGGAGTCATAGTGCAGCTACTCAGCTCCCTTTCTCCTTTTAATTCTGACGAGGAGGGTAGGTCTTCAAACTCAATTGGCCTATTCTAAAAAGTCTCTCACAAGCATGCCCAAAGGTCTGCCCCAAGTGATCTTATATTCTGTGTAATTAACAACCAATATGAGCCATCACACATGTCTAGAGATTTGTTTCCATGGTGTTTCCAAATCCCATCCGATTGACAATGAGGTTGAACCATCATACTTACTTTCTGAAGTGGTAGTAATAGTAGTTATTGTATCTTGAATTAGGCACAGCCAGTTTAAAATTGGTCCATTCCTGCTGACGACTAGGATAACGAACACAAGTACCCCTCTTCAGACTGTCGATTCCTGGTAATATTAGTATATTAAAGTTATTATATATTATGATCTTACTCTAGATTCCACCACTTCCAGCCAGGTTCTTCCTCTACCGACAGGGGAGTTCTCCTATCACACAGACCAGCACATGGTAGAGGCAGGCATGATCCTTCGTTGTCTCTGGTTCTTAATGCTATGAAAGGGCTGCACAGCTATTTAAACTTGATCTTTACAATTTACAAAGTTAAACTGCAGACTAGAGAACCAGAAGAAGGCAATCGTGCACATCGGAGTTCCCCTCTTTGTCTCAATCCTCCCGCTGGGTTCTCCAGCTCCATCTCTGACTGTGAAGGCAGAAGAGTTTTCGTTTGTGTTTCTGTCTTCCTCAGTTTTGACTGCTCCAATTTCTTGACCTTGGCCATATTGTGTTTGTCACATCTGGTTGCAGAACGAGCACCGTGACGCTTGTGAACAAGAAGAGCTGGGTCAGTGCATAGCTGTGCCAAGTGTCACGGTTCACCAGCATCACAGTTCCCAGGAAGTTCATGAAAGGAAAAGCCATTCTCTCTCGGGTGTTACTCCGAGGATTTGACAGAACAATCATTGTATACTTTATTGTTCCCCGGTAATGACATCTTTTCTTCTAGATTCCATTCAGATCATGATCCTCAGAAAGTCTGAAATGTTTGATCCCTGCACAGCCCAATGTGTTAGTTACTTTTCCACTGCCTTGACAAACGCCACGGTCATGGCAACACACAAAAGGAACTGTTTCAGCAGGATTATTGTTTCAGAAGGTTAAGAGTTCATAATGGCAGAGCAAAGGCATGATGTCAGGAACAGCTGAGAGCTAGCATCTTGATCTATGAGCAGGAGGCAGAGAAAGAACCCTGGGAATTGCACATGTTTTGGAAAATTTAAAGCCCGCCCCCAATAGCACACCTTCTCCAACAAGGTCAAACCTACCCCAACAAGACCACACCTCCTAATTATTCCCTAACAGTTCCACAGACAGAGGACCAACCGTTAAAGCATATGAGCCTATGGGGGCCATTCTCACTCAAATTATCACAGATCTGCATCCCTATTCAGCCTGAAGATGTTTTAGAAAATAGAATGCTAGCTCTCATTCATCCTTGAGATCAGCAGATCAAAATCTTAGAAGAAGAAATTGGGGCAATTAAGAAGGAAAATTAAGCTAACATGGGACAGGAAAAGGCTCCCTCACCCCGACTGGCTCAGAATAAATACAATTTTACAAAAAAGATTACAAACCTTCTTTACAGTGGACACATGTCTTAATACAATCAGAGGGTTTGTTTTCAAAGTCGCCTTGAGTCATCTTTGTTCCAGCTCACATTAGATCATTGCTAATACTTCCTAGTGTAGTTATGCCCCATCCCAAACCTCCTAAACTACCCCCTTACCTAAACTAGGAGTATAAACTAGACAATCGCTAATCGTCAAGCTTGCCTTCAATGGCATTTGCCTGAGAGGCTGTAAAATGAACAGGATGTAAAACAGAGGGAATTAATGCACTTTCTAAAAATTCAGTTTGAACATTCACAAATACACAAATATACACCCATTACTAGCAGCAAGACTAATGGAGATTTCCTTCCCGGCACCCAGGAAGCCCCTTCTTTCCATCACAATTGCTTGCACATAGTGTGACTATTACCTTAAATTCCAGCATCTGGGTCTTTCCATTTTGGTTCTTCATAGTGGCAAGTTGCAATATGTTCTATATCAAATTACAAGGGCCAGAGGATGGAGGAGGTTCAGGTCTGGGCAAGAGGCAGTGAGGGAACTTAACAGCTAACTGCTATGAGCTCAAGCCAGGACTCTTCCACACTCCTGAATGAAAGCTGAAACCATGACTCAAAATCCTAGGACTCCAATGCCCACAGCATTCTGTTTGGGATGGGCTTGAAGCAAAAATGGACCGTACAGACTGTCTTAGCTATGGCCAGTGTAGGTTTTCCTTATCAAAATTCCACTTAAGATGATGCTCTTGGCTTTAGGTCCCCCTACTTTTGTCTAGCTCTGCTGCTAGTTGTGGGGCTTGTCCCAAGACCAGGCCATTTTTCTTTTCTGCATCTGTAATGCACAAACTGAACAAACCCTTCTAGTTCAGAGACCTTTTAGCGTCAAGGGTTTTGAGTTAACAGCAGAAGTGAACTGGACACTAAGTGTGATAAGACAGTCTTGTAATCCCAGCACTTAAGAGGTTGATGAGTTGAAACTCAGCCTTAGCTGCATTGCATATACCTGGCCAGCCTTAGATATATAGCCAGGCAGTCTCAGAAACAAATAAACACCCTATAAACAAAACAAAATGGAGAAAAATGGATTTAACATGCAACATGTAACATGTACTTTTGTGTCTAACATTTTATGTTCGGCTGTAAGTTTCTGCTATTTTCTATTACTGCCTACAGTTTCGGAAGTCCTTCGCATTGCTGTGCAGGGTCTCCATTCCACAATGAAAAGGTATGTTTATCTATTGGTGGTCTTTCGGATTATTCCCATTTGAAGACTATCGGGACAGAAGCAGCCACGGGTGTGATGGCACCTCTCTGCCTGTACATCTTAAGCATGGTTCCTATCAGTTGCGTGACCAAGAAGGTACTGGTGGGTCACAGGGGGCACAACTGTAATAAATTGTCCTTGGTTTGCAAAGGAGTTGCTCCAGCGCCGCGATCAAATTTAATTATTTCACATTCTTGTCAACATCTGGTATTTTATATCGCCATTTTCTGTTTTATTTTGAGGTATATAGAAGCAACGAAACCATGTTTATTTATTTACAGGGTCTCTTGTAACTCAGGCTGGCCTTGAATTCCTGATCTTCTTGCCGCCATCTTCCTGGGGTCCCAGGATCACAGACATGTGCTGTCACTCCATATCTGAAGCAGGTCTGGATTGCTTTTTTGCAGGACCTTTTCATGTGCAGGTTTGTTCCCGACTGTAAAGGATCGCAGGCTTCTATTCTGTCCAGTCATACCATGCAAGCAGCAGGAGTTAGGTCTTCGCTCAACATTGCTTTGCTCACTCCACCACTTCGATGCGCTCGGGTGCGTCCCAGTTAGTTAGTGGCAGAATTTCCGAGGCCCCTGGAGGGGAAACTGGGAGCTCCTTGCCTTGCGGTAGGTTTGCACATCCTGCTCACCTTGGTCTCCCTGGGTACCAGAGGCCCGAGGCTCTGCAAACCCAGCCCGCTCCTTCAGGGCCAGCGCAGGGCGGGGCGGCGCGGCGCATGCGCAGTCCAGGCGGCGCATGCTCCCCAGCACGGCGGGCGGGAGCCTGGCGCGCCCTTCCTTCATCCCAAGCGGGAGCGGGCGACGGGTGTCTCCGTGGGTCCCGATGCTAATAAAGTTGGCTGGGGAATCATAATCGTTCTTGAAGGGCCGAGCGGGTGCGGGGAGGAGCCGGGCTCGGTGCTGCGGGCTCGGTGCCGAGGGTTCCGGGCTGCGGGCAGGAGGTGAGTGCGGCCTGCGCGGCCTCGGCTCGGGGCTGCGGGCTCCCGGCTCCCGGGCGGCGGTGCCGGGAAGTCGCTGTGGGCGGGGACCGCGGCTGCGACGGGCGGCGCTCGCCTCCCCGTCCCGGGCCCTCGTGGGGGCTGCCCGCGCGAGGACCGGCCGGACCGCTCCGTTCCATCCCTCAGTGCCGGCCGCCGCCCGCAGATCGCTGGCCGCGGTTTCCCTGGAGCAGGGACCCGACTGTGAGAACTTCACTCCGGCGGGCGGGCGGGCGAGGCGCGGTCCCCTCCCCCGGGGCTGCGCGACAAGAACCATCCCTGTGCTCCTCCGATCGATCGATCGTACAGGCTGTTGCTGCACGACGTGAACATCAAACCCAGCAACCCTTTCCGTAGTAAGTTGACCCATCCTTTGCTAACCTGAGCGACTGTATTGGTTGCCAAGGGGTTTAAAATTAAGTTGAGAGGGAAGGATATTTGTAATTACTGCCTGTTTTTAATTATACTCAGAAGTGTGCCTTTCTAATGATGCTGTGTGTGTGCGTGGTGAGTGTGTGTGTGTGTGTGTGTGTGTGTGTGTGTGTGTGTGTGTGATTTGGAACTCACTATGTTGCCTTGGCTGACCTGGAACTTGCTAGGTAGACAGGCTGGCCTCAAAAACCCTTGCCTCTTCCTTCCTCCTGCGTGCTGGGATGCAGTGTTTAACTCTAAGTTTCTAAGAATCTCAACAGTATTTGCTGGAGCTACAATCTGCTTCTGCGTCTTTATTATTTTTTAACTTTCATATGGTAAAAATAACCCTTTTGGAGAGTTTTCGTGTCGTGTAACCACCAATACAATCAGGATATAAAATCAGTCCTACTACCTATTAAAACCTCGTGCTGTCTTTGTATCATAGTTCTTATTCCCGATCCCTTGAAATTACTGGTGTTTTTAGAATGTCATTTAGTGTAACAGTTTGGGATATCGATAACTTATTCACGGACTATATATAATGCCATTGACATTCAAGATGCATGCATGCACGCATCCATCCAGTTCTATTGAGACCCGATCTCAGGTGGCCCACACTAGCCTCAAACTTGCTCTAGTAGCCAAGAAAAACCATGAGACTATGATTTTCTGCCTCCTCTCCCAAGTGCCTGGATTACAGATATGAGCCACCACGCCAGGTGTGTGTGGTGTTCGGCATGGAATCCTGGGCTTTGTGGGGCTAGGAAAACACTACGCCAATTGAGCAAGTTATCTGTCCCACATTGTTTCCTGGATGAATAATTTCCTCCTGTTTTATTGTTAAGTAGTGTTTAATTAGGTGGGTGTGCCAAATATATCCAGCCACGTTGTCCACCCATTGAAGGATGCTTGGTTAGTTTCCAGTTTTAGGCATTTGAGGTAGCCTCTGCACAATTGCTCAGGTTCTTAGTTGGGGTCATCCTTGTAGATCTCTGGACATTTCCCTAGTGCCAGATTTCTCTTTAGACCTATAATGACTCCCTCTGTTATGGTGTCTCTTTTCTTGCTCTCCTGTATCCCCCTCCCCAATCTTCCTGTTCCCTCATGTCCTCTTTCTTTCAATTCCTTTTCCCCTCCCCCGCCGCTCCTAATTTGCTCAAGAGATCTTGTCCCTTTTTCCTTCTCTGGGAAACCATATTTGTCTCTCTTAGGGTCCTCCTTGTTTCCTAGCTTCTCTGGCAGTGTGGATTGTAGACTGGTGATCCCTTGCTCTCTGTCTAATATCCATATATGAGTGAGTACATGCTATGTTTGTCTTTTTGTGACTGGGTTACCTCACTCAGGGTGGTTTCTTCAAGTTCCATCCATTTGCCTGTGAATTTCAAGATTCCGTTGTTTTTCCCCCCCCCCCCCACCGAGTAGTACCCCATTGTGTAAATGTACCATATTTTCTTTATCCATTCTTCATTTGAGGGGCATCTAGGTGGCTTCCATGTTCTGGCTATTACAAATAATGCTGCTATGAACATAGTTGATTAGATGTCTTTGTTGCATGAATGTGCATCTTTTGGGTATATGCCTAAGAGTGGAATTGTTGGGTCTTGAGTTAGACTGGTTCCCATTTTCCTGAGGAACTGCCATACTGATTTCCAAAGTGACTGTACCAGTTTACATTCCTACCTGCCATGGAGGAGGAGTGTTCCTCTTTATCCACATCCTCTCCAGCATAAACTGTCCTTGGTGTTTTTGATTTTAGCCATTCTGACAGGAGCAAGATGGTATCTTAGAGTCATTTGGATTTGCATTTTCCACATGGCTAAGGATGCTGAGCACTTTCTTAAGTGTCTTTCAGCCATTTTAGATTCCTCTATTGAGAATTCTCTATTTAGCTCTGTACCCCACTTTTTAATTGAATTTAGTGTTTTGGTGACTAGCTTCTTGAGTTCTTTTTATATTTTGGAAATCAGCCCTCTGTCAGATGTGGGGTTGGTAAATATCTTTTCCCATTCTGTGAGCTGCTGTTTTGTCCTGTTGACTGTGTCCTTTGCCTTACAGAAGCTTCTCAGTTTCAGGAAGTCCCATTTATTAATTCTCAATCTTAGTGTCTGTGCTACTGATGTTATTATGTTCAGGAAGTGATCTCCTGTACCAATTTGTTCAAAGGTACCTCACACTTTCTCTTCTAACAGATTCGTTGTGGCTGGATTGATGTTGAGGTCTTTGATCCTTTTGGACCTAAGTTTTGTGCACGGTGATCAGTATGGATCTATCTGCAGTCTTCTACACACCATCATCCAGTTGTGCCAGCACCATTTATTCAAGATGCTTTCTTTTTTCCATTGTATAATTTTAGCTTCTTTTTCAAAAATCATGTGTTTGTAGGTGTGTAGGATACTATTAGGGTTTTCAGTTCGATTCCATCAGTCTACCTGTCTATTTTTGTGCCAATACCAAGCTGTTTTCAGGACTGTAGCTCTATAGTATAGCTTGAAGTCAGGGATGACGATGCCTTTATTGAACAAGGTTGTTTTGGCTATCCTGGGTCTTTTGTTTTTCCCATATAAAGTTGAGTATTATTCTTTCAAAGTCTGTGAAGAATTGTGGCAGTATTTTGATGGGGAAACAGTTAACCAACAGCTCAGTGTGACACGTGACTATACATCATTACACAAAATGTCTCTGGGGGTACATTTTAAAAAGTTACCTCTATGGCTGGAGAGATGGCTCAGAGGTTGAGAGCACTGGCTGCTCTTCCAGAGGCCCTGAGTTCAATTCCCAGCAGCCACATGGTGGCTCACAGCCATCTGTAATGATATCTGGTGACTTCTGGCATGCAGGTGTATGTGGAGCGGAACACTGTATACATAATAAATAAATAATAAAAAAAAGTTACCTCTAAGGTCGAAAAGCATTGTTCTCAGGTTTTGTTTCTGATAATGCATTTGTTGTTACGCTGTGTGGGATTGTATTACATAAAATGAATATGTGCATGTGTAACTCACACATTGCTAAAGGTCTCACATGTATCCTTGGTCGGCAACTCTGTGAGATGGATATCGTTGCGGGGAAACTGAGTCTTGGAGAGGCTAAGCAATAAATTAAATACTTCAACTTCAGTGCCAAGTCTTTGCCTCTGTGAAAGAGACAGTTGTGAGGATAAGGGATCAGCGTTGACCTTTCTAAGGTTAACAAGGAAAAAGGTGGGTTGGGAGCCCCAGCCTTGGGACAGATTGGTATAATGTAATGTGACTGTTTCTTGATAAAATAATTTTATGTTAAGTTACAGGTTTGCGGGGAAGATCTGATCACCTGGAATTCGAGTTGGTCCAGAGACTGTTCTTGTTTCAAAATGATGGAGGAAGACATGGAAGTAGCCATCAAGATGGTGGTCGTAGGGAACGGAGCAGTTGGGAAATCAAGTATGATTCAGCGATACTGCAAAGGCATTTTCACAAAAGACTACAAGAAAACTATTGGTGTTGACTTTTTGGAGCGACAGATTCAGTATGTACTTGGAGTTTTAGCCTTTGGTTCTGATTTGTAAAGTGTCTAAGACTCTACGGGAATGAGAAGCTGCCTTGCTGTCCCAGCCAGGAAGCAAGTGGCAGTGGTCCCCGGAGCAGTTAGCGCTGTTGGGTTTTGTTGCTTTTTGTTTGTTTTGTTCATTCTTTTAAACAAGGCCTTATGTTACCCACACTGGCCTTGAACTTGCCATGTGACCAAGGATGACCCTAAACTCCCAATGTCTTCCTTCAACCTCCCAGGCACTTTATTGCACAGGCTTCAGCTACTACACCTGGCACTGATTTTTGTTTTTGAGATGGTTCTTACTGTCGTAGCTCACACTGGCCTCAAACTATTCTCCTCCTCCTCAGCCTCTGAGAGCTAAGAGTATAGGTATGTGTCATCATGCCAGGCCTGGGGTAGTTTTCTGTGGAGTTTTGTTTTGCTAGCTTTTTGTTTTGTCATATACTTTAATCTTTGACTCTTTTATTTTTCCCCCTTTCCTCTGTTGGTTTCCCTCTTTACCCCTTCCTTCTCGTCCTGTGTGTTTTATATTTATTAGTGACATTTGGGGACTTGATAAACACAAACCGACTTGGCTGATTTCTCCCTGCTCTGTCACTTACAAGGAACATCTCAGCTGTCTTACAATTTTCATTTGAGAGGCTCCTTTTGTTTACATTGTCTCTTTTAATTTTATTTTTTTGAGCCAGGGTCTTGTAGGTGTCCAGGATTACGTTTGCTCACCCACCACGCCTGGTGTTTCCTTAAAAAAAAAAAAACAACAAACAAATAAACAAAAAAAAAAAACTGAACAACACTACATAGAAGTTTGAGATACAGTAATAATAATATACTTTTGTCCTAAAGAATAAAAGAAGAAGGGTTTAGAAGTATTAAATTTGCCCACAGGAAGGAACTCCTATTTCAGTAAATCTAACTGAACTCTAAAATACTTGGGAGTGATGCTTTTTGTCACTAATGTTGAGAGCCTTCAAGCCTCTTTTGGATTGTACCTGACTCACTGCCCCATTAATAACTTGCAGCGGAGAAAATGGTCATCATGGATTCTGGTCTTTCTTGATATGCCTCTGTATATCCATTTTTGCCTCCTTAAAATACACTTTAAGAAGGCTCATTTTGTCTTGACGATATTTGTATTTTGTACTTATACCTGAAACAAAATTAATTAATATTTAGGATATAGTTGATTTTCATTATTCATAGGCCTTTATAAAAACGATTTATTTCATTTTTAATTGTGTGGTGGGGGGGTGGGCATGTGCACATGAATGCAGATGTCTTCAGAGGCCAAAGACTCCAGATCCCCTGGGACATGAGTTACAGAGACACCAGATTCCCTGGAACATGAGTTACAGAGACACCAGATCCCCTGGAACATGAGTTACAGAGACACCAGATTCCCTAAACATGAGTTACAGGCAGATGCAGATGTTTGCAGAGGTCAGAGACACCAGATCCCCTGGAACATGAGTTACAGAGACACCAGATCCCCTGAACATGGGTTACAGAGACACCAGATCCCCTGAACATGGGTTACAGAGATACCAGATCCCCTGGAACACGGGTTACAGGCAGTTGTGAGCAGCCTGCTGTCCGTCTGGGGACTACACTTAGGTGATCTGTAAGCGCAGTGCGTGTCTGCTTTTAAACACTGAGCCATCTTTCCTGCCCTTACTCATAGGCTCTTTGTTTGCAAATTCACCTACTTGCTAAAAGTTACTTGAAACCACAGTCTCTGCTTTTGTGGTCACTTAACTGGACAGACAGACAGACAGACAGACAGAGGGCTACAGAAACATTCGCGGTGTCCAACATGTACTTTCCCTGCTGTGGTCAAATGAGGAGTTACTTCTTGTTTTAGCCCTTACACGATAACCCTGTCCTGTTTTGTTTTGTGTAATGCACATTTTTCACCTCTCCTTTCGTGCTGGTGATTTGGCGTCCCACGTGGCTCCCAGCTGTAGTGTGGCAGCTCTGTCAGGTGCCTCTGAGTAAGAAGGCTGTGTGTGCCTTACAGAGAAGAGCACCGTGTTAGATCCGGGTTCTTCATACAGCAGTTACTTGCTCTGGTGCTGGGCATGAGCTCAGTGAATTACTATGTAACAAGGTGTCTTTAGTAGGTAGAAACACATAAAGCAAGGCTAGGTCAGTGAATGACACAAACTGGTAGTTCCTTCCCTTTTGTTTTGAGACAGTGTCTTTAATGTAACACAAATTCAAGATTGTCCTGCCTCAGAATCCAGTGCTGGGATTACAGGTATGCATCATCATGCTGAGGAATCTGACCTTTTATTCTCCCCAGGAATAGGATGGCTCTTGTTTTTGCTAATTTAACTTTCACATTAACATTTGAAAGCAGAGGGTATAACTCGGTGGTAAAGCACATGACCAGCATTGACTAGCATGCAAAGTGTCCGGGGTCTGCTCTCCAGCATGGCAAAGTGACATAGACCATAACTGCTGAGGTGAGCATCAACTATATGACAAAATAGAGGCCTGCCAAGCAGGCTGCTTCCTTCCCCATTTAGAATGGCGCAGGGAAGTGATCTGACCCACAGGGTTCCCCTTTCCCAGTTCTGCTGGTCTTAGAGCCACGAAGACTGTCATTGTTGGAAACACCGGCAGACAGAGTGTAAGGTCTTAGCTGTGCCGTTACGACTGGAAACAGCCCCATCGTTTAAAATGATTTTGTTCAGAGTGAAGTCAGACTTAGGGTCTGAAGAATAAAAACGTACACCTTTTTCATTTTGTGCAGAATAAATCCCTCTCTTGTTTCAGGGTCAACGATGAAGACGTCAGGCTAATGCTATGGGACACCGCAGGTCAAGAGGAGTTTGATGCAATAACGAAAGCGTACTATCGAGGTGAAGTGGGAAACTCTTCGGGCCAGATGAGGGGCATTGCTTTTCTGGCTTCTGACTGGGGGTTTCTGTTGCTGTGATAAAACACCATGACCAAAAGTGACTTTGGGAGGAAAGGGTTTATTTTGTCTTACAATGCTCACTCAGATCCCGTTCCATCACAGAGGGAAGTCAGGGCAGGACCTGAAGCAGAGGCCATGGAGGATGCTCATTACAGGCCCACTTTCTTCTGCCGTCCTGGACCTCCTGCCCACAGTGGGCTGGGCCCTCCCACGTCAGCCACTAACATGGAAATGCCCTGCAGACCAGTCTGATAGAGGCATTTCCTCTTCACAGACATGTCTAGATTGACATGATGACAGTACCAACCAGCACACTTTGTTTTCTGCTTAGAAGCTTCTCTTTAAGAATAAGAAAAGGGCTGTGGCGTAGCCCTGTTACAGGGCTTACCCAACATGCACTGAGCTCCCCCAGAGTTCAATCCCCAGAACCAGAGAATAACAATAACAACACAAAGTATTGGCCAGGTGTGGTGACACGTGCCTGTCATCTCAGCACTAGGGAGGCAGAACCAGGGGCAGAGCAGGAGGGTTATGACAAGTTTGAGTCCAGCCTGGTCTGTGCTCCAAGCCAGCCAGGGATCTACAGGGAGACAATAAAAATAGAGTTCATTCAAAAGCTCTGGTCCAGTATCCTTCATTGGCATCGGGCTTATTTTCTTCTCCATATTGTGTGAGACTCTGATTTTGCAGTTTTAGTTTTCATGTTTTGGAGCTGCTGAGGCTTAAAACTTGGGCTAGGCACATACTCTTGGGTTCTCCTGCCTCAGCCTTCTGGGTACTAAGATTACAGCACTATACCACTGAGCCTGTCTACGTCAGCAGTTTTTAGGTAACCTCAAATCATACCATTTCTCTTTAGTATGTTTATAAAATACGTTCTTTGCCAGAACTAAAAAAAAAAGACCATCATGTAGCTGCTTGCATTCTGAACATGATATTTAAATTAGTTTCTACTGTTCCCCTTGGATGAAAAGGCTTTAAATAGCTTTGGTTTCTGTGAATTTATCATTTTAGCTTAAAGTGGCCTTAAGTTTGTCAATAGAGTCCTGTTAAAAGCGCATCATAATAATATAACTAACTCTTTATCCAGTTATGTTAAAATGGCAGGGAGGGAGGGTAGGGAATTGATGGTTCTTCCGTATGGTTCAGGGTTATGAAAATTCCTGAAACAGTCACTGTGTAACCCAGGTGCTGATCTTCCTGTTGGCAAAACTGCATTTTGTATCTTGACACTGTATGGCCCTTAGCTAGTCACTGCAATCAGATCGTATCTTCGAGAGTTAACCTGTAAAGGAGATCACGATCAGGTCATTGACTTACTGCGTCGGGGTAGACTCCTGAGAGCATTGTAAATCAGACCTAAGAATTTGAGAAAACTCTGTGGGACTTTAAGTGTATCCCCATGGCATTACAATGCACATGTATGCCTGATTCTCCTACATGATGGCAAACCAATATTGGCTGTTTCACTTATCAGGGACACTACAAAAGGCACCGCAAAGATCTGGCATGGACAAACAGGCTGCTTTTAGAATAGGGTTAGATAACAAGATGTGTGGATCAGGTACCACTGGCTGGTGAGGGATGGCTTGCCTCATTTATGGCTTGGAGCTCCCGTACAAACTGACTTTCTCTTCCCTTGGCTTCCTTGTCGGTCCTGGGGTGTTGCAAGGGGTTAAAAGCCCTTTTCTCAGAATTCCTCTGTGGGGTTTGTTCCCGTTAGGGCTTCAGGGGGTACCTGTGAAGGAAGGCTATCGGTTTCCTCTTTTAGGGATCGTCTGACCTTCATAGGTGATGTGGAGACAGTGGGGGACCAGAGGATTCCTGTGTCCCCAAGTCTGAAATCATCTTTCCCTTTGGGGAGACGGAGCTATGACTACTTTGTGTTTGTAAAACATCATGTCCTGACAGAGGAGAGGGACACCAATCACCAGTGGAAGGGTTGACCGTTTCTCCAGCTGAAAATCCACAGGGTTTGTCTTAGAGGCAGCTATGGGAGTTCAGAGACCTCCACCGTTGTAGTTTTACTTTTCTATGAGGGAGAGCTTTTAAACGCGGGACTTAAAGCAGACAGCAGCTCCTGTACGAGCACGGCCTTTGCTTCCTCTCAGTTAATAATTACTGTTGTTTCTCCCAAGGCATAACTAACAGAAAAAGGAAGGACTCAGATCCCCCCAGAGCAGCTGTATTCCAGCTTAGTGCTTTCTTTCAAGGTCTCTCAGGTCTCTTGTCCACTTTGGGAGAGCATCAATTTCAGGTTCTTCGAGTTTTGGAATGTCCAGGCCTTTTACAGTAGTAAAAGGTAAGAGGAGTTAGTAGGTCCCTTTGTCTGGAAGCTTAACAGTTTTAATTACAAGCTTTTAATTTGGGCAGTGAGTTGATCTTCTAAGGTGACGAGGGCATCTGTGGGAAGCGAGGGCCATGCATGCCTATTATTCCGCTCGACCAAACTGGCCAAATCTTCCCGCCTTTCTGTAAGTGCAGAATTTAACAAGGCATCACTTTGTTCTGTAAGTCCTCAGGGGAATTTTATTAATGAGAAACAACACAGGCTGTTGCCATTTCTCATGGTTTCCCACCGTCTCCAAATGGCATAATCTTGTTGCTGAAGACGCCACTCCCTTTGGATAAAGAACATAAAGGAAACTCTCTTAGAGAGCTAGCTTCTGTAGGGCTGGAAGGCTCTATGCCGGCTCTTGGAGGAGAAAAGACAGCGGTCTCATTCAGCACTGGACCTTGGGTGCTGGAATATAGCAGACATCCCTGGCAGCACGTGCCCACTGGTACAGTAGTGACCTGGCAGTTACAGAGGTGACCTTCCTCCTTCCTGATTGAGTATGGCACTGTTTCACAGGAGCTGCTGCTGCATAAACCTAGTCAGAAGCCCACGGCCGAGGAGATCTTAGGTCCTCGGCGGGGAAACCCACTGTCCATTTGTTAAATGGCCTTCTAATTACCTGTGCCTATATCTGCAGGTTTATGTCGCTGTCAACCACAGACGGCATGCATCTGCTTATGTTGTCAGTGGTTGATACAGACATTCATAAATGGACAAAGTGCTGAGGTAACTGAGTGCTCAGCTGCGGATTAATCATCTGTTTCACCCTCCCCCCCCCCCAAGTCAAAGTGCAGAGACATGGCTGTACAGGGCTGGGAAGTATGTTAGTTAGAGCTGCCAGAAGGGGAAGAGGGCTGTGCAACTCTGACTTCTGGGCACAGCGTGGCTGTTGTACTCAACTCACAGCAGCTGGGCTTAGCTGCTCAAGGCCTGTTGTCCCTCAGGTCAGGCCAGTTAAGACTCCAGCATGTGTGAGGGAAGGGCCCTGACACGCTACATGTTGCCAGTCGGTGGCTCCTGAGGGTGGGAGTCAGTCACTGCCCTTCAGGGGAGGTGGCCATGTCCCGGTGAGATTAAGCTAGCTGTGTGTCTGGTCTGAGGCTCACTGTCCGGCTTGGAGATTTGCTTGTTCTCTTTCCAGAGAGTGAAGCTGGTTTTAGGACTTCCTTTTGTTGTCTCTGCGTTCCTGTTGGTGGTCCGGCTTTTATTGATGTGTTTGGTGGCAGTTTTGTGTTGTGTCTACTTCCCTTCACACAGGATGACTCCAGCTTTCTCCTACGGAGCCGTGGACAGTTTTTTATTATGGTCTTTGAAAAGTTTCTCCTTGAGCCCCACCCCCACCCGGTGATTTATTTGGGGTGCCATCCTAGGAAGAGATAGAAGACTTGGGGGGAGTGGGGTGGGGAGCAGTGATCCGGGAAGGGGGAGCTTCAGTAGCTAACCGTCACTGTAGGAGACTAAGGGCCAGTCCTTTTAAAGAAACTTGCGTAGCTGCCTCAGGAAGCTGGAGTAGTTACCAGGTCCTCCTGGGGATGCCCTAAGAAAGCCAGTACTCCACGGAAACAAGAAACCACAAGTAAAAACATAAACCCCTTGGGGGACAAGAAGAGGAACCTGCTGGAGGCGGTGGGAAACCTGTGACTGGCATAGGACAGGCCTCGTCAGCTGTCCCACAGGAAGGGGGACACAGGTAGGGGCTGTGCCAGGGCCAGTGTCGGGCGGGTGTCCACCAGTTGCTTAGTAACTCTGCCATCTCAGTTGCATCCGTGTTACACTTTCCTGTCCTCTGACACCCCCCCCCCCCCCGTGGCCTCTGCCCACCTGTCACCTACCTAATAGCTGGAGGGAGGCCATGTTTTCCCTGGCCCTTCACTTCTGAAATAACATCGAGCTCTTTCTCCCTCTTCCTGGTTCATCTGGCACAGTTAGCAGAAGTGGGGGTGGGGGTACTGCTCCGCCCTGGCCCCGCGGCAGCCTACCGCATTGTCTGAGGACTCTGAAGTAGAGTTAGAGTCAGTTGATCTGGAGAAGAAAGAGACGACAGCACGGATGCCAGCCTCTTGGAGAGTCTTGCTTCATTACCGTTACACAACTGGAATCTGTTCTTTCTGGCAGGGGGCTTAGCTGTTGTCGTCAAAGAGTTTTGGAGGAACCTAAATGAGAGCCCAGGGTGGCTCCTGTGACCCACAGGAAATGACGTAGTGTTTTCTGAGATTCCAGAAAATTCTCTGGAGCCTGTTCTGTCACTTTCATAAAAGGGCACAGTAAATACACTGAACTGGACCACTGTGGGTAGAAAGAAAAGTTTACTGGGGAAACAAACTGATGGGAGATGTCATTCTGTATATGTTTCTCATACTGGTTAATGAATAAAGCATTGTTGGCCAATAGGAAAGGAAGATAGGAGGGACTAGGAGACAAGGAGGAAATAGGAAGTAGTAAGGGGCCAAGATGGAGAGACCAGGGAGACCAGATGCCTGCCCCACTCCCCGGTAAGAAAAGACCACGTAAAAATACATAGATCAGCAGAAATGGGTTAATACTTAAGACAGAGCTAGCCGATAAGAAACTAGTAACGGGCCAACAAAATTATATCAAATACAGAGTCTCGGTGTGTTAATTGAGACAGGCACGGCGGCGGGACAAGACTGGCGGCAGGCAGAAAAACCTAATCCTTACAACAAACTACTGGTCTACCTTCCCGAATAGACGACGGCAACTGGATGGGATGCACACAGACTTTATATAGTCAGCAGGGTGGAAATTCTGAGCTGTTATGGGCTGTTACGGTCAACCGGGAACTAGATGCCCAGCCTGAGGTGGTTGACTGTTGGGGTGGATAAGGAAAGACCCTGAGGAATGCTGAATTTAGGCCAATGTCAGAGTCCTTCCTTTTAGGACGATGTCACCAGTATTTGCTGGTGGGGAGCAGGGTAGGGGCATGTTGGGCCTAACATCACCAGGGTTTTTCGTCACCAGGGTGTGAGAATTAAGATGGAGTCACTGCTTTTTCCAGGGGGTTGCAGTTTATTTATTGTTTTGAGATAGGGTCTCAGTACGTAGACTTAGACTGGGCTGGCCTGAAACTTGCTGTGTTCCTGACTCTGCCTCCTAGCGCCCGGCCTAAAGGTGTGCACCACCACACCCGGCTCTGTTTTCAGTCTTAGATATCATTTGCTTAATATGGCAGCTGACAGCTAAAATTTTGTCAAAAGAACAGTGAGGCCATTATGGTGTGAGTGTGTGGGCTCAGGGCACTGAGTGTTGTATGGTTTTTTAGATCACTGTGCTGGCTGGTTCATGTCAACTTGACACAGCTCAGTCATTGCGGAGGGGGGGAGACTTGAGACAATGCTCCCATGAGATCTGGCTGTAGGCAAGCTTGTAGGGAATCTTCTTATTAGTGATTGATGGGGGCGGAGTCACCCGTTGTCAGCCGTGCCATCCCTGGGCTGGTGGTCCTGGATTCTTTAAGAAAGTGGGCTGAGCAGGCCAGCAGGCAGCGCCCTCCTGCCTGTGAACAGTCCTGCCCTGTGTGAGCCCCGCCCTGTATGGGACTGGGAGAAAAATAAACCCTTTCCTCCCCAAGTTTATTTTGGTCAAGGTGTTTCATCACAGCAGTAGTAACCCTAAGACAGTCACTGATATTCTGACGAAAATAATACAATTTAAAAGTAAGTAAGTAGGTCAAGTAAATCATTTGCTTTCTTGGAGTTTCCTGAGACCTGTGCTATAAGCAGATGACAGATCTTAACCTGGAAGCTTTTAGGAAAAGCTTGTCGTTCCCACTTAGCTTTCTGCCCTTCCCGCCTCTCAGTTGGAATAAGCCATGCTTCATAATGTTTTAAGTCTGACATGTTGGGGTTTACATTGACACTTTGGCCATTGGTGCTTCGTAAGAGCCTGTGCTGAAGTATAGGAGACTGTTAGAGCGCGTGCAGTGTGGCTCCACCCGAAATTTGTCTGAGTAGGTAGAAGCTGTCCGTGCCCTGCACACAGCCGCTGTGCCGCTTGGGGGTTAACCGTTTCCTTCTGTGATCTTACAGGGGCCCAGGCTTGTGTACTGGTGTTTTCTACCACAGACAGGGAATCTTTTGAGGCAATTTCCAGCTGGAGAGAAAAAGTGGTTGCGGAAGTTGGAGATATACCAACTGTGCTTGTCCAAAACAAGATTGACCTGCTGGACGACACATGCATCAAAAAGTAAGACGACTCACACATATCTGTTCTTCACTATTCATGTTTTGCTGACTTCATACACTTGCTTTAAGTTTTCTTTCTCATGCTGTCGTCTTGCTTTGCTTTTTGAGCGTGTGTGTCTCCCACTGTGGCCTAGGCTGGCATAAGCTCCTTCCCCACCCAGGTTAACCTCAGACTCATCCAGCCTTGGCCTTGTACTTGCTGGGTCTGTGTCCATGACCAGCACACCTGCCACAGGTCCGCTGGAAGGTGGCTCACTCACTCAGGGGCAGCCCTCTTTAGGGCTAGAAATGTTCTCCACATTCTTACAACATGGCGGCCATTTCCTGGCGAGGAACTGAAATGACTTTGATGACCTCTCAGAAGCGTTTTATTGGACACGGACCAACCTTGGTTACAGGGTGGGGAGAAGTACACAGGGGATGCACAACAGGAATTTGGGGACTGCATGGAACCATTTGCAGCAGGGTGACCACAACCTCAGTAAATCTACAAACAAAACAGTTCTCTTGAAACTAAAATGTACTCTTGTTATAAGTATGCTTCCCACCAGCCTGGTCCCACAGCCGCACCAGCCCCAAATATCCCACAGAGACGCTGTATTAGATATAAAACTGCTGGCCAGTTACTAGTGTTTCTTATCGGCTAGCTCTGTCCTAAATATTAACCCATTTCTATCAATCTAAGTATTTCCACGTGGTCTTATCTTACCGGAGAGAGGGCCCGGCGTACTACCCTGTTGGTCCTACATCTTGAAACTCCTCCCTGCTACTTCCCATGTCCTCCTTGTCTCCTAGTCCCACCTATCTTGCCTTCCTATTGGCCAACAGTGCTTTATTCATTAACCAATAAGAGAGACATATTTACAGAATAACATCTCCCATCATACACTTACTGATGTGGCCATTAATGTGCTCTATTTAGCATTAGAGTAAAATAAGCAGTTTACAGTGTAACCAACTCAAATAGTGTTAAAGAGAATCTTTTACGGTGGTCTCATATAACCCAGACTGGCCTGCAGTCCTTGTAACTGAGGGTGACTTTGAACTTTTGACCCTTCTTCTGTCTCGCTCTGAAGGGCTGGAATTCACAGTCCTGCAAGCATTCTACCAGCTGAGCTATATGCACCAGCCCCAAATTAAGATGCTCTTCAAAGAAAAGTGATGCATAGTTGTTCCGTGACTTTATAGCAGTGCATTTGTTCACAGTTGCGGTGGGGGACTGGTGTTTGTCCCACTAGAACAGTGAAGGCGAAGGTCCTGTCTGAGCATTGAACACTCAGCGTTCCACACATTTTAGTTAGTTAAAGGGGAGCCACGTCAAGCCTCTTCCGAAAGGGCCCTGCAGCCCTCCTCCTACCCTCCCCCTCCTCCCACCAAACCCCCACCCCCTACCCCCGCCATGCTCCAGTGTTACTCATCAAATCCGACTGAAAAGTTTGTTTGTTTGATGTGCAGTGAGGAGGCTGAGGCTCTGGCCAAAAGGCTAAAGTTAAGATTCTACAGGACGTCTGTGAAGGAAGACCTGAACGTGAACGAAGGTAGTCACCTCTTTAAAGACATATTGCAACAAGAATCTTGTGGGGGGGGGTCTTTAAAATGCAATTTCTGTCATGCTTAGAAATTGGATTTCAAAACAGTGTAAGAACAAAAGTTTCTTCTTGTCACAAAATGTTTTACTCATGATTACTTGTTACTTACTCCTGAGATTTTCAGTAGGCTTTTTATTTTATTTTTTTTTTTTTTTGCCTGTTTTTGTTTTTTATCTCCTAAAATCTAAGCCATAGGGCCAGCAAGATACTGGGCAGATGGAGCTGCTCCCTGCCGACCTCTGACTGTGTGTGTTCAACCCCTGGGACCCACAGAGTGGGAGGAGAGGAAAAGCTGCTCCCACAAGCTGTGTTCCAGCTTGCACACACTTGTGCCGCACACACAGTAAAGAACTGAAAGAAACATTCTAAAAAACCTAAGTATGGATGTATACATCTATGTAGTTCTCATGCATAAATTTTAGAAGTTACTGAATTGCTTTATTATTGTGCCGTAGTAGAGACTCCACCAGACAGCAAAACTTTGTCAGTATTTTCAAGTTTAATAAAACAAGGTTAGCTGGGCATTGGTGGCGCACACCTTTAGTTCCAGCTCTCGGGAGGCAGAGGCCGGCACATCTCTGAGTTCGAGGCCAGCCTGGCCTACAAAGTGAGTTCCAGGACAGCCAAGCATATAGAGAAATCCTGTCTCAAAAAGCCAAACAAAAGAAAGTAAGATTAAAGAAAATTTTGAGAGGTTTTTTTTCTCTCTCATTCTAGAATTTTCATTTTTAGATTGTAACTGGGTGATCAGTGGACTCTTTATTCTGTATAGTTTTCCTCAGACAAGGAAACTGAAAGCAAACTGGGTTAAGCAGGGCATAGCGGTTGGGTGCCTGTTACCCTAGCACATAGAAAGCAGAGGCCAGCCTGGGCCTTGTCTCAAAACAAAAGCAGAAAGGGATGAATCCTGTTGTTGTTAGTGGGATCGTTCATCATGATCCAAGGTTTTCAAACGGCAGAGCCAGTGTGTACAGGTGGACTTCCATTTCTCACTGGACACGCTTTACATATACTGCGATTATCACCGTTCTCGGATACTGTACAAGTAATTTTTAAAAGTGGATTTTTTTTTTAACTAAATTGCATGCTTCTAATCTAATGTGCTTTTAAAATTTATGTAGTAAATCCAAATATTGCAGTATGAAAATTGATTTACTTGCATAGTCATACTGTGTGTGTATGTGTGTGTGTGTGTTTATTCTAGTTTTTAAATATTTGGCTGAGAAACATCTACAAAAACTCAAACAACAAATAACCGAAGACCCAGAGCAGACACATTCAAGTAGTAACAAAATCGGTAAGTGCTTGGGAAATTGCAGCCCTTGTGTTTACCTGGGACTCACTCCACGTACTGTGTTGTGTTTACCTTTTTTACGTGCAATGTGCTCATTTCCTTAAGAAATCTGAGCTAAACTGTCAGAATGAGATTGCTGAGCTCGGTGAGTATCCGCTCTCTTGTTGAAAGCGTTTTGTTACTGCTGAGTTTCGGCTTCCCCCAGCAGACACGCTAGTGCTTCTGAGAAGACCCGTGTGTACACAGCCAGGGTCCACAGCATCACGTCTTCCAGGCTAGTGCTTCTGAGAAGACCCGTGTGTACACAGCCAGGGTCCACAGCATCACGTCTTCCGCGTGTGTAACCCTCTCCTGCTTTTCCCTCCTACCTCACCGCTTCTTACTGGTCTCTCTGCTGTGTTAGACACTGTCCAAGTTTAGCGGTCCCTGAAGTCTACGTTATCATCTTTTCACAGTAACTGGCCATGGATTTGGGCTTGCACAAGGTTGAGAGCCATGCTCGGTACATTGTCATGTAGTATCTACCTGTATGTTGTACATCACCTGTTAGACTGCAACTTCCTATGGGCAGGAACTGGTCTTGGATTCTGTTTCTTTGATGGTGTCTATGCCCAGAGTTTCATGTGTCTAGATGCTCGGGCGCTTATAAGTTAGAGGCTCCATTTTGAGCGTAGCACATTTGAAAATGTAAGCACCCGCCACTTGTCACTTTTCCCGTAGGGCCAATTTGATTATGGTATTTGAGCCTCAGAACGCAAGGAGGTAATGGAACTGGGTAGTGGCGGAGCAGCCTAAAGTTTAATAGAGCTGAACCTGCCTGCCTAAAACGTTTCTGTTCCAGTATAATAAAGATGAAAACCACCGAAGGTACTGAATTATATAGTAAATAATGTGTATGTGACAGGTGACTTTGGGGTGCATCAGTCATTCTGTTTTTCCCAATTTATACAGGTGTCTTTAATACGTCCGTTGGAAGCCACTTGGGTCAGAATTCAAGTGCCCTTAATGGCGGAGACATCATCAGTCTTAGACCTAACAAACAAAGGACCAAGAAAACCAGAAATCCCTTTAGCAGCTGTAGTATCCCCTAAGTTGTTTCGGGGAGGAGAGCAGAATTGCATTCGCAGTTCACCGAGGAGCTCCCAGCGCCACAGTGTGTTCGAGTCTTAGTGGGCCTTGCACCTCGCTCTGAAAGCTGACATTGTAACGTTGCCCTGCCACGCTTCTCAGAATGTAGATGGAGACCTCTGCTGGGAAATTCCTGCCTTGTGGACTCATTCTAGTCATTCTAGTTCTTTACGTTAGACGAAGCTTCTCCTGTTTTTGAAGGGACACCATAGGACATGTCAAAAACGGGTTTTGCTGAATTTTAAATGCGGAAAACAAAAATGAAATGACTAAATATATTGGTTCCCGTTTTACTCTTATGGACCAAGGCGAGATAGCAAGCGTTCTTTTTCTGGAACTGATCATCTAGCTTTTCTGGAATGTTCATTCTGAATGCGTACAGAAAGTACTGAAGGGAAAACTCAGCCTGCACTGGTGTGTGTTGTCAGTGGCCCTTGTGCAATATCTGTAACGTGTAGGCTGTGGGAGTGTGCATGCAGACACCTGGCCCCAGCAAATGAAGGTCTGGGTGCTACTGAAGGGTTTGTAGCTTCTAAGTAGGTCACCCATACAACCATTTACACATTGTGTATCTCTCTGGTCTCACATGAGAACTTGGAGGCATGTTTTACCAAACGAACTTGGACTTAAATGTGCCGTGTGCCAAAACAGCCCCCTAATTTTTATAGTGCTTTACTAGTAGGATTTGTACTCGTGGCATCTTTTAAAGGCAGCGTCCTCTCTGACACTGTAGGTGAAGGGAATGTAAAGATCCGAATGCCGCCTCTCCCTAGTGAGAGTTCTGCAGTCTTCTCCATGGCCACTGTAGGATGGCGAGCTCACACTGTCACAAGCCACTCAGAAGACCCTGGGAAGTGTATGCACATTAGCTTCTAGGCTGCTGACTGAGACCCCAACTCTGAACTTTGAAGATGAAGGGAACCCTTTTTTCAGAATGTACAAAAGGTAGTCTTTGGTCCTGACCCAGGGTATGGATTTTCTGAGCCTTGCAACTCTGAAGTATCCTTCTGTTTACACACCTTGTATAGCATTTAAAGATAATTGCTTAAAATTTTGTGGCCTTTGGTTTACATGGCACCTTATCAGGAGCTGTCAGCACAGAGATGTCTGTAAAGAAATGACCCAGTATGTAAATGATGCTTGCAAACTTTTGAGTTTGGATACTAGCCTGCCAAAGAGAGATAATTTCATGAGGTCTTCTAAAAACTGATTATTCTTCATTGCTGGTTTTGTTTTTAAAGTTCCAATTACTTCTGTCCACATTCCTGGTTTTCACAGGACTTCAAAATATAAAAATGATTTTTTATAAATGATTTTTTTCTTGGAGAATGTGCTGTGATGTCACTGTCTATTATTTTTACCAAAATATATAACTGATTGATGTAATTGTTCTTTTTTTGTTTTTGAGTTAACGCCCATTGTAGCACCCTGGTCCTGCCCACATTAATGTTGAGAGCATAGTAAAAGTCATGGAGTGCCCTTGTTACGTAGTCCACACTGAATGCTCACCTTTCACAGGAAAGGGTCTGTCATCCATCCCCAAGTAGTGAAGATGTTTGTTTTGTGTTATCCGTTGATAGCATTAGCATTGCTGGCGATGGGCTAAGAGAGGGGACACCTTGGTTCCTAACCCAGGGTCCCTAGGTACCTGTGTGAGTCATGGTTTCTCTCTTCACCTACAGTCGCCTTAGTTTCTGCACAAAGCGTATTTGGTGGCAAATGGTCTTGTCGTCTGTAATTGGCAGGGTTAAATCGGAAGAATTCATTATAGAACACTGTAGCTTTATTCATAGTCACTGAATGCGTGGTAAAAGGGTGTGTGGTACTTCTCTATACAATAATGACCCAGTCTGAAGATGGCTGCTGATTCCTTGATGTTTGTAACAGAACTTTACGTACTTTGTTTTATCTTTTTTTTTTTTTTTTTAGTGAAGTCTTTGTTACACATTTGAATTTTTACTTTGCATTGCTGCATTTTATACTTAACTATGAAAGGACTAACATCAGCCACAAGAAATACTGATTTATCAATGTATTCGATCCTAAAACCTTCAGAGGTCACATTGTTTTGTGACTGTAACCTTCGAGAATTTTAACACGAACTTCTGGTGAAGCCCCTAGCTGACGATGAAGAGAGCCCTGTCCATTTGCGCTCCTTTACTCTTTGCATCTCCGCCAGGGTTTAGTGTCAAGCACACAGCTGTGGAGTAATTGCCACACCTAAGAGTCCCTCAGGGTTCTTCAGTCTCTGCCTATGAATTAAATAGTACACAAAACGGCCATGTAAGGCAGTACAAAGAACCGAAGGTCGAATTGTTTCTTTTTAGCCACTCCAAGTGACAGCGCACATGTCATTTCCAGAGTAAAGCTAACACTCCCACAGAGAAGCTGTGCGTACCCTTTCCTGCAGAGTGAAGTTAGACAGTTGCTTCCTGAGTGGGAAGCCAATGCTGAGAAGCAAGAGTGTGGGCCGCCCTGTGCCTGCCACCAGGGACTGGGGGCTTGTCAGAACACTGAGGATGAGGGGTTGGCCCGAGGACCCGATGTCTCACCCTGAAGTGTTGCACCCCTGTCATCCTTTGGAGGGATTCTGGTACCTGCTGTGAGGTAGTCTGGGGATGCCTCACTGGAGCATCCCTCACAGACGGTCTGCAGGGGACCCACAAGGCCAGCGTGTCCTCTGCAGTAGCCATCCAGTGACATCTTGATACTCTTCATGGTTTCACAGATGAAACTTAAAAAGCTGGCATACACAGGAAGTTATCTGCTTACAGGCACATTAAACCCCAGTGGGGTCTGAAATACCCAGGCACCAAGCTCCCAGATAAGGGAATGATTTGGCCACAAGACTCTCTGTTACCACGCCTTTTCTGTTGTCTCTTGAAATATCCAGAGTAGGATGTTGATAAATGGTATTTTAAAAATGAAATCTTTGGATCAAAGGAAAAACTTATCCCCTTCTATATTTTTGTTACTAATAAATAATGCTTTTGTAAATCTGAATGGGAAACTACTTGTACATATTCATACTGAGTGGTACTTATGCCTTTGGGATTAATTTAAAAATGTACTACTTGATTACAATTTCAACAAAGATGAATTCCAATAACCAAAATAATAAAACATTTCAAAGCTAGAATTTTGTGTGATGTGTGTGATGTGGACCGCCAGCATCGGGTGGAATGCACCAAGGACCTGGGTGTGGCGGTGAGTTCCAGACCAATATGAACTTTATGAGAACATGTACAACAAACAAATGAATAAATAGGCAGGTGTGACTAATTTAACTACCAAAATAACTTAAAAATATTTCATACTTAGCTACTTCGTCACTAATGCTCCTAGTCTGGGTGCAAGTTATTTAATGTAACTTAATATCATGCTTTAAATGTTTTTTTTTCCTAGAAGCTAACTTTCTTCTTTAATCCAGTTACAATTACTACTAGTCGTGTGTGTGTGTGTGTGTGTGTGTGTGTGTGTGTGTGTGTGTGTGTTGGTAAAGAGTAAGGAGGGTTTGAGACAGGGTCCTGTGTAGTCCTGGCTGTCCTGAAACTTACTCTGTAGACCAGACTGTCCTCAAACTCAGAGATCTACCTGTCTCCCGAGTGTTGGGATTAAAAGCTATGTGCCACCACCTCCTGACTACTATTGGTCTTTTAAAGAAAGTTACGTTCATGCTTTAGGCTTTTGGCTCCAAACACCGTTATCCCATCTTAGGAGTAAAATAACTATATTGTTTTAGTTCACTGTATCAGACAACCCACTCGCTCTCACATTCACACTTCCTCACTCATCACCTTTATCCGGATTTTCAGAGACGGGAGAGCAGGATCTGAACCATACATAAATGATGCTGCCTCCAACTCCCCCCCCCCCGCGTGCCTGCGCCCTCTGCTGGCCAAACGGTGGGGCTACACCGCTCCTGGTGTAGCACTGTCCAGCTATGTTGTGTCCATTTTACCCCATTTCCTTGTATGAGTAAACATACAGCTGTTTAAACTCATTCACATCCCTGCCGCTGCCTCCTCCAAGTTTGCAGCCGTTTTTACCTTACTTTGTGCCCTTAGACACTTGTACTGTCCAGCTTTCAAAACAGCATCATCATATAGATGGACTTCAGATGTAGTAGCTTGTCAGGATCGGTCATTTGAAATGACAGATATTTGGTATTCAGAGTTTTGGTTTTTGTACTTTTTAGTTACTCTGTTGCTTCCAATGACTGGCAAATTCTTTCCTATTTTCCAGTTTCAAAATGGAACTCGGGCAGGAGAGCTAGATGGTTCATTGCAGAGGACCCAGGTTCAAGCCCAGCACTCACATGGTGGCACACAACTCTGCAAAGCCAGTTCTAGGGGATCCAGAGACACGGGCCTACATTCAGCTAAAATACCCAGACACATAATAATTAGGAGAACGGAGCTCCGAGAGTGGGGTCACAGACAGGACTCACTAGGTAGCCTAGGCTGACCTGGAACTCACTCTATAGACCAGAAGAGATCTGCCTGTCCCCTACAGCTGGGGCTGAGATGAAAGGCCGGCACTACCACACCCTTGAGTCAGTCACCTCTTTAGGGCGATGTCTAAGCACTCTGGTGAGGCACTGGACAGAGCTCCACCCCATACTTCCTGTCCCTGTGCACAGTACTGTGTGTGGGTCAGGAGGGGATGCTTGTCTATATTTTGTTAGCTACTCTAATGGAGACCCGGGAGCGGCCTTTTCCTCTCCCCTCCCCCTCCCATGGGGCAGGTCTTCCCAGGGGCCCCTGCCTGAGCCTGCTGAATGAACCCCTGCAAGTTTCCCTCTGTTGCTCTGCCCCTCAAGGTCCTGAAGCTGGGATTTGTAGCATTTAGTTTCCGCTATGATACGATCTAGCCTTTCCACCCACTGTGGTCTCAGCCTCCTCCAGCTCCCGCTTGACAAGCAGGGGACAGAGAAGCTTAAAGGCCCCGCTGTATCCACCCTGCCAGGCCGGTTCCTTTATCTTCTGTTAGTTGTGCCTCAAGCTTCAGCCTCCCTGACGTGGGAGGCTGAACCTTCCAGGGTTGTCTCTCCGCTCCTCCCAGCGACTGCTTTTCCGTCAGCCACAACAGAGCTGACAGCCTCCTGGGGGGGGGGGGTCGCTGGGGTTCAAGCTCTGGAAGGCACCAAGCTTCCCATTTTGGCACCCCTTGAAAGACAGGGCTTCTCTGCAGCCTTTTGAGCACCACAGCCTCTCCTCACCCAGAAGAGCCGCTCCCTAGGAAGACCCCAGACTCTCACAATCTTTAAAAACTAGTATCTCCTGGAGCATGCAGCCCGGAAGCCATGCTTCACACTCATCATGACTATTCATCTTCCCATGCACCCAGAGCTTCAGGAACACTTCAAGGAAGGGTCCATAAATCACTCACACGTCATTATGTACTTAGTTTTTTGTTTTTTTTTTTTTTTTTTTTTGTCTGTCTGAGACAGGGTTTCTCTGTATTGCTTTGGAGTCTGTCCTGAAACTAACTCTGTAGACCAGGCTGGCCTCAAACTCACAGAGATCCGCCAGCCTCTGCCTCCCAAGTGCCGGGATTAAAGGTGTGCGCCACCACCACCCTGCTGTACTTGGTAATTTTTAAAGGGGCAGAATTTTCACTCTGCCCTTAGCTGATGAATCTGAGTAGGTTGCTGCAAGCGCCTCTGTAGGTTCTGCTGCTAGCTGCCCTAAAAGGGAAAGGCAGAAAGAGGTTTTAAAGGGCTACTGTAGAGATGAGCCCTGGGAAGCAGAACTATGGGACAGCAGAGGGACTGTCCTAAAATGTGTGTCACATGCAGCTGAGACACAGCAAAGAATGTATTTAGCAGGGCCATCCCCTGGAGGTTCCAAGGGCTGGGGACACAAATCAGCAACTCCAGGAGTCAGGATTGAGCGCAGTCAAGTCTGTGAGAAGCAATCAGTGACCATCCAAAAAGTTCCATTGTGAAGAAGGAGAATGAGGGCTTAAAGAGACTGCCCGGTGGTTAAGGGCACTTAGAGAGGACCAGAGTTCAATTCTCTGCAGACAATTCAGGCAACTCAACTTCCTGTAAGTACAGCTCCAGGGTATTTCACACCCTCTTCTGTCTCTGTGGGAATGAGTGCTTGCACAGATACACACAAAAATCTACAAAGAATGAGAAGCAAATAATGCAAAGAATACAAAGGTCAAGGAGACGGCCAGAATTTGTGACACGGTTCTGAATGGATTGAGAGTGAGTGAACCTTCCCAGGGTAGAAAGGAATCAGGGAGGGTGACATTTGAGAGCCTAAGGGAAATCTGTGTACTTCCCAAGTTTAAGAAGCTGACACAGGCCAGGCAGTGGTGGTGCTTGCCTTTAATCTTAGCACTTGGGAGACAGAGGAAGGCAGATCTCCATGAGTTCGAGGCCAGCCTGGTCTACAGAGCAAGGTCCAGGAGAGCTAGGGCTACATAGAGAAACAAAAAAAGAAGCTGGTAAAGAACCAGGCGACAGAAACTGTGACGGCAAGCCTGGTGGTAGGCGTAAGTCTGCAGGCAGATGCTTTTGCCTTGGCTGGGGACTCTTTCCACAGAGACTGGCTTAGCATCTCAGCACAGAAGGGTCAGCTCAGTAACACCTGTGCTGAGAGATTGCAATCCATATAGATTTTTGTGTACGGTATGGAAACTGTCTCCGTCCTAACGAAAACGGTTGGAGGTGACTCACTTCAGAGTAGTTGCTGCTGAGCGGAGTGTGAGCCAGTCACCAGCACTATTTACTTTTAGTTGGAACGTGTCCCATCACTGCTTCCTTGGTCACAGAAAGATGACCTTCTGGTCAGGGTTCTCAGCACACCAGGCCGATAAGTCAGGGGGGCTTTGTGTCCAATGGGAGAAAAGCAATGCCCGGTGCTAGCGTTCGATGAAACGGATTCTTTTAATTACTGAAGGCAGTACAAACTGACAAAACTTATAAAAATTTAGAAATATGTTTTTAGGCCATGAAAATGTATGTATCTCTTGGCCCAATGAACCCAAGAATGGAATTTTATACAAAGAAGACCAAGAACAGAGGGGAAAAAAGCTCTAAGGACACAAATATGCTGTAGTCATAGCAACAAGTTGAACCCACCCACATGCCCAGAGAAGTGACTCCTGGGTCGTCGTCCTATGCTCCCACTGCACACACGGTGGCTTCAGGACAGCCCATCCACACCCACGCTGGAGGGAGGCAGCTGCAGCCTGGTGGGTACAGATCTTCACCGTGGGGTAAAACAAAGGCCGTTTCCTCGCACAGGATGTCATGCTTCCACACACATAAAAATACATGTTATGAGATGCATAAAACAGATGGCCCAAAAACTGAGAACATGCAGGGTGAGGCTCTGATGTGTTTCCTTCTATCCTTGTAGGCACACCGTGTGGTGTGAGTACACTGTTCCCCGGGTGCTGGGTGCTCCATTCACACTGGGGTGAACACACTGCTCCAGGTATTAGGTGGGTGCTCTGTTCACACTGTGGTGTGAGTGCACTGCTCCAGGGACTGGGTATTCTAGTCACACTGTGGTGTGACTACACTGCTCCAGGGGCCGGGTGCTGTTCACACTGAGGTGTGACTACACGGCTCTAGGGGCTGGGTGCTGTTCACACTGTGGTGTGACTACACTGCTATCGGGGCTGGGTGCTGTTCACACTGTGGTGTGACTACACTACTCTAGGGGCTGGGTGCTCAGTTCACACTGTGGTGTGACTGCACTGCTATCGGGGCTGGGTGCTGTTCACACTGTGGTGTGACTACACTGCTCCCAGAGCTGGGTGCTCAGTTCACACCGGTGTGAGTGCACTGCTCCAGGGACTGGGTGCTCAGTTCACACTGTGGTGTGACTACACTACTCTAGGGGCTGGGTGCTGTTCACACTGTGGTGTGACTACACTGCTCCAGGGGCCGGGTGCATCTGTACTGAAGTCAAGGACAGAGCAATGATGCATCTGTTCCTTTATTTATTTTCCCACATGCTATGTGTGCATCAGAGGGTAAACATACAGTGCTGGAGTCCAGCTCAAGACAAGGCAAAACTTCTTAGGAGGCAACCGAAATACTTCTTAAGTGTTGTGTATCTGTTGACACTGGGACATTTCCTCATCTGAAACAGTTAACAGTGTGAGGTGTAAGTGGTTATACCCAACACAAAGGACTGGTTATTTAAAATAGTGGTTTTTCTTTTTGTTACAGCCTTTGTAAGGGCCCGTGGGTTTCAAGTCTAATTAAGTTTGCTGTCCATGTTCTGCAGAGCTTTGGGACCGGGTCCTTTAGAGTGCTCTAGGAGTCTGATGGCCTTGTCGGAGTTGTCAATGTTCCTCAGCAGCGTCTCCAGCCGTCTCTTGATTTTCTTCTGATCTTCAAGAGCGCATCCGATCACTATGGACTGAAATTTCTGGTCCACTGGCCCAGACGGCACCTCAGACGAACACGCGCTGTAGAGGGACATTAGGTGGCTCTTGGCAGTCCCCACGTCATCCAGGAACTTACTGACCACCTCGTCTATAATCTTCGTGGCATGCTTCAAGGATTCCTCCTGCTGGGGATTTCGGATTGTTTCCACTGAGACCTCAACGGTGAGGGTCCGGCCCATCAGGCGGTTTGCAGTCAGGTTTAATTCCTCTCTTTCTCCTAAACATGAAACATCAGTCAGTAGGAGACAGAAAGTTGCCAAGGCGCGCACTTATGGCTGCCTTTATTTTGTGTAAACACTTCAGTGAGTTTTTAAAGGTAAAAGCCAAAACTACCCCCAGCATGTGGGATTAACTGAAGGCGTGTTGGATGACAGAGCTAGGTTACAGAGTACCTTTCTCTGGAAGTCATCCAAGTCTGTGCGTGCACGCCTTGGGCAGAGGCACCTACAGCTGGGGTGGAAACCAGATAAATTCACAGGGCAAGCGGAATTTAGCTAGAAGGATGGATGGCCGGGGCAGAGTGGAGGCGATGGTGCACACGGTGTGTGTGTGTGTGTGTGTGTGAGAGAGAGAGAGAGAGAGAGAGAGAGAGAGAGAGAAAGTACACTGCACACTTTCGGCCAGGTAGTAGAATGACAATGGAGGGCCACCGGGCTCCCGAGCCAGCCCTGGCCTTCTCCTCCCTCTGCAGACACACTCAAGCTGGCCCTGGGGGCGAGTCTTGGCCAGTGGCAGGAAGCTGTGGTGGCCACAGGCTCTGGGAACATCTCAAGGGTTACTCACTACCTCCTTTCTTTTCCAGTTCTGGAACTCTGTCAATCCACTGATCCTTTGCCACGATGATGGCGAAGGACTAGGCAGGACCCATGCTGGATGGGCAGCACTTTGGGTCGGGAGTTCAATGCTTATCTCCCCAGCGCCCCAGCCCACTGCACTCAGTGACCCATTCCTCCCGGGGCTGCCACACTCCTCAGATGAGCACAGTGGCACATGCTACATTAGTCCCATCACCCCTCAGGCCATCTCACCAAGCCTCCAATTCCCACCTCACTCCTCTGCTTTTACTTCCCTGCAGCCCAGGACCATGCCTGTCCTTCTGGAGCTTGCAGGGGGGGGGGGGCAGTCACACCCAAGGCAGGCAGGTGCTGCCACCCAGCCCTTCAGGGGCCAGCTCTGCTCGGGGGAAGCAGTTCTCACCCACCGTCACTAATCTGCCTCATGTCCTGGCTGTTTTGGATACTGTGGATCATCTCCAGGAGGATTTCCTTCTCTTGTTCAACAGCAGTAGCTGCATCTCTCAAAGCTTCAACCCTGTGTGAATTGGCAAAACAAAACAGTCGTTACAGCGACAGGGTCCCCTCAGCTGCCATCTAAGTCAGCTCAAGTTTAAAGGACAGTGAGAAAGCGTGGCAAAAACCATTTTGGGCCAGCCTGGTCTACAGAGAAAGTTCCAGGACAGGCAGGGCTATCTGTCTCAGGGAAAAGAGAGAAGGGGGTGGGGAGCATTACCTAAATATTTTCTTTTTTTCCCCTAAAGGGTGTTTTTGTCTTGTTTTCTGAGACAGGGTTCCAAAGGCAGGCCTAGAACTTGCAGCAATCCTCCAGACTCGGGTGGGGCGGTAAGCATGAGCCACTCCCTCTGGCTCCTCTGCTGCTTGCTGAGTTCGTTTCCTTGCCCAGGGCAACCTTCCAGGCCACGTACATCTATGTGGACTTGTTCTTTAAAGTTTGTGTTTGCATACTTGCAATTTAAACTTGTACGCATTTCTTTTTCAGCTTCCTCTTCAAAACCACCTGGCTCCTGGGTGTCCTCTGAGCTGCACGCTGTGCCCCGTGCACATCTGTCCGGTTCTCTTCGCTCTGACCACTCGGAGATGGCCACTCGAGTTCACTCAGGTGACTTGGAGTCTACATGCTCAAGACATTAACTCCTTATTGGCTGCAGTCATGGAAATCGTTTTCCTGTGAACTTTGTTCAGGGCGGCCCTCACTGAGCAGACACCTCCCCACGCCCCAAGATAAACGTATACTAACTGTTACCCAGGGTGCCTTGTGCTGTTTCAGCCACAAGCACCTGTGATCACCTGCATGTTTGTTGCCGGTCTATGTACCTGAGTATTTTAACTGCACGCATGTAAGTGCATTAAATATGTGCATGGTACCGGCAGAGGACAGGAGGGCTTCCAGTCCCCTGGAGCTACTGGAGTTACAGATGGTTATGATGGGTGCTGGGAACCAACCTGGATCCTCTACCCTAGCATCCAGGGCTCCTAACCACTGGGCCATCTCTCCAGCCGCTCATTTTATTTCTTTGAAACAGGTTTCACGATGTAACTCAGCTGGGCTTTCTTGATCCAGACTCCTGAGTGGTAGGAGATCACTCTGATGTGATTAATTTCCTGTGGCTTTGCCTTGTGGCTTATGCGTTTGAAGTTTTATGCGTTCCCATCACAGCCTGGTCATAATATTTTCCCACATTCTATTTATACTTTTACCTCCCTGGTATTTGTTTCTTTAGCCCACTAGGATATGCTCTGGCTTTAGGCAATAACCCAACAGCCATTTTCCTTCAAATTCTTTGCTCTAAATCCCGTGTTACCTACAGGAAATGTACTTTTGAGATCTCTCCCCATTGGTATGGTGGCTGCCCTCACCCACACTACTTTACAGCACCAGGGGCTTTGTACCACGCAATGACTGGTAGAACAGGCTCCTCCAAACTCTTCTATAATGTGGGTATTTATATACCTTTATTCCTCTATAGAAGCGGTTCAAGTTTGAGCTCTTTAAAAAAGGAGGAATTTGGAATCCTTTTGACAGTATAGTTTAATTTATACCTCAGTTTATATATTCTTTTTAAAAACTATTTAATTTTATGTGCATTGGTATGAGGGTGTCAGATTCCCTGGAACTTGAGTTACAGACAATTGTCAGCTGTCATGTGGGTGTTGGGAATAGAACCTGGGTCCTCTGGAAGAGCAGCCAGTGCTCTTCACTGCTGAGCCGTCTCTCTAACCCCTTATATATTCTTTATTAGTGTTGAAATATTTTCCACAGTAGGCTTATGGATTTCTGAGTGTCCCAGAAACCTTGTGGGTATTGCTGCAGGTCATGCTGTTTTTATAAGCTCAGCTTAGAAACGGAAACCTTGATTACATTTTAATGGTCCGCTGGGTGTTGGTGGCGCACGCCTTTAATCCCAGCACTCGGGAGGCAGAGGCAGGTGGATCTCTGTGAGTTTGAGGCCAGCCTGGTCTACAGAGTGAGTTCCAGGACAGACTCCAAAGCAATACAGAGAAACCCTGTCCAGAGGAAAAAAAATTAATGGTTGACCTGCCACTTCTATCATTTCTTCTGAGTTAATGATCATACTGTCTGGAGAGAGAGAGAGAGAGAGAGAGAGAGAGAGAGAGAGAGAGAGAAAGAATTTCTGTCTCTTTTTCATCTAGTTGTTTTTTCTCTATAGGACTGACTAATGTCTTTTGGTACCACATTAGACAGTGGAGTGATGGGGGTTTTGCTTTTTCCCAAATTTAAAGGGAAAGCCTCTTTAAGATTCTGGTGTAAAACCCTAATCATACATACCACAAAACACTTCATCCACTACACGCAAGCACACACACACACACACACACACACACACACACACACACACACACTTAATGAACAGGCAAACAAACTCTCGTATTCAAAACTAGGTTCTGAATCATGAAAAGCAAGAGAAAAACATCTCACACATTTAAATTTTCTATTTCCAGGTCACTTTCTTATAGGTAACAGTGACTACAGTTCCAGCTTTTGTAGAGACACAGTGATTGATGACCCCAGAGGCCACAGTCTCACCAACCTTTTATTAGCACACATCAACCCGTGACCTTCCATTCTCCTACCATCCGCATGTCACCCACCTGTCAAACCCCAAAATAGCACTGGCTATAAAGAGCCAAGTAAAGCAGCCAAGCATCGTATGTACAAATTTAGCCGAAAACAAACAAGACGAAGTATCGGTAGGGCAACTGGCTTCTTCCAGTACCCTGTATTACAGTAGTGTCCTCCAGCAGAGAGGCCCAGCTGGCAAGATGTGAAGCGTTTATAATTAGAAACTCTAATTATGAGTCCAGTGTTTAGAGAAATGGTGCGCGCACTCGGAACGGCCGGATTACATTTTAGCACTTGTGCTTGTGTTAAATACTACTGAGAGGTGGATGCTGTTCTAAAAGGGGTTCATTTACAGTAACCATGCACAGCCATTAGTCTGCCGGGTTAACGAAACAGATTAAAAAGAAACATCCAAAGGGAAAAACACCTCTTCTCTGTGTGTAAAGAAGCTACTTGAGCCAGGGATGTAGCTTTGAGGTTCAGAATGTGCCTAGATTTGTAAAGCCTTGAGTCTAATCTCAGAGAGGGAGAGAGAGAGAGACTTATTGAATGATACTGACTGGTGGCGTGGGGGGAGCACTTTTTTCCCCTGAAAGTTCCTTATGCATAGTAGAAATTGCCAGAGTGACATACATGTCTACATATATTTATACATTTATCATGGGCCTTTCACTTGCCGTCCTTTCTTCCTATACGTAGGGTATCTTTCTAAAAGTTCTGCTTCCCTTGGGCAGAGCTTGTTCACAGCTTCCCCCTTCCTTCCCTTAAGGGAAGGCCTTAGTCTGATGCTGTGATGGATCAGTATGAGCAGGAGCGACTCGGGGAGGAAAGGGTTAATTTCTCTGACTCTGCCCCATCATGGGTGGGTGCACACTTGGAGGGGGATTACTGGCTGGCTCCCTCATGGCTGGCTCCATCTTTCTTATAGAACCCAGAACCCCCAGCCCAGGCATGGCACCACCCACAATAGGAAGGCTTTTTCTACAACAATCACTAATTTAAAAAAAAGGAAACAAAGCAAAACACCCCGAAGCAGTGGTTTTCAACCCCTTTTGGGGGTGTGTGTGTGTGTGTCAAACAATCCTTTCACAGGAGTGACCTAAAACCATCAAAAAACACATCACGATTCACAACAGCAGCAAAGTCACAGTTACAAAGTAGCAACGACAACCATTTTCTAGTTGGGGTCACCACAACTGGAGGAACTGTAACTGTCACTGGGCATTAGGAAGGTTGAGAACCACTGCCCAAAAAAGGCTTTCTTACGGAGGCATTTTCCAGTTGAGAGTCCCTCTTCCCAAATGACTCTAGTTTGTGTCAAGTTGACTTTAAAAGGAGATAGGACAGCACTGTTCATCTGTGCTTGGAATACACTGGAGCTTCTGACCCTCTGACAAACAAAAACAACACCCGCTTTATCTGTGCTGGGGATGGAACCTGGCGTTTTGTGTGCACCAGGCCAGCATTCCTCACTACTCAGCTTGTTTAAATTATGTTTGCACTGTTTTACGGCTGTACTTAAACTCAATTCACAGACGTTTGTCTACGTAGCTTTTCCATTAGTCTGAGATTAGTGTCTGAACCTCTGCCTGCCTCCCTTCCTATTAGTTTCTTAAGTAGCTAGGATCGATAGAAACATCCCGTCTTGATAAACTTAACAGTGCAAGATTCTCCCCTCGTCATCAGGGGGCGTTCCTGTGGGGACTGGGATCCAGGGAACAGCTACATGTCCAAATTGGGAAAGGGAGCATCTCACATCCCGCTGACTGGGACTGGCACCTCTGGAAAGCTGCACCCTGAGCAGGCTCCGGCAAAGACACTGTAGGGAGAATTTCCACACGCACGAAACTGCGGCATCCAATTGGTCCCCAGCCCCCCCAGGCATCTCATGAGCCTGAAGTAAGGGTAAACTGGACAGCAGCTCACAAAACTGACCGCTCGGGGAGCCACCACCCATGCTGTGTGAGGAACTACTGCTAACTTCACCAAAATGTCCTCACCCAGGACACTGATGATAAGGAGATGTGGCTGTGACCGAACAAAGCAAACCAGACTGACAGCATGGGCTGAAAACTCGGGCATGGTGTCAGCATGCGGGAGATTCGTGGTAGTTATTCTAGACTCGCTGTCATGGACACAAGCTCATTTGTTAACAAAAATGTGTGCTTCCACGAGCAGGGAAATGGCAAGTGTTCACATCCACGGGTTTCTGTGAAAGGAATTTTCTCCAAAACAAGTCCTTAAACTCATAGACGAGGCTCCGTGTGAGGCCACGGCATCTCCTGCAATTTCTGATACTGTCAGGAAAGCAAGGGTCTCCACATCACCAAAATGTGGCAATTCATTCACAGTCAGAACCACTCGCCTGAGGCAAGGCACTTAGAGCCTCAGTTTCTTCTTTTCACCCCAGACAGGTCTCACGTATCCCATGCTGGCCCAGAACTCACTGTGTAGCCCAGGATGACCCGAAATCTTGTCTCTAGGACTGGAACTTACAGGCATGCACCACCATGCTGACTTTCTGAAGCCAGGTATCAAAACGCAGGGTCCTGAACATGCTAGACAAGCTTCCTACCAACTAAGCTCCTTACGGCCCAATGCTCTCATAGTTGAGAGAGATAATGACAGCTGTCTCCTCCCCGGGGTTTTAGAAGTTTCAAATTACAAGGTGTATGAAAAGCGTTCTTTCAAATTACAGACTACTACTCCAATTAAATATGGTGTCACTTGCTTTGTGAGTCGTGGGACACTGGGACATCCTAACACGAACCTTAAGAAGTAAGAGACCAAAGCAGGGGGTGGTGCATTTCCCTGACCAGGGCGACAACCATCATTTCCTGCCTGGGTGGAATGGAGAGGAACTACTCACCAGGGGATCATTTTGGAAAAATGTACAAACAGCCAATCTCCCAGCCAATCCCCGAAACCCAGCCCTTGGACAGCTTGTTATCAACCCACAACTTCTAGAAGCTACTCAATACTTGGCATGTACTGGGTACTCAATATTGACTCAATTAAATGCTAAATTGATTTTCTTCTCTTTTAGTAAAAGCGCATTTCTATGCCAACTGGACATTTTGAAAAACGATATATTCAATACTAGGACACATGGTGTCTGATCTGAGCAGCCCAGCCCGTCTTCCGGGGCTGCAACTTGAGGCGTGATGTTTGCATCTGAGCCTCAATTTCTCATCTGTAGAATACAGATAATGGTAACTCCCACAGAGGCACGAGGCCGAGCATGCAGATAGATGCTAACATGTATTATTTATAAACTAAGATTAACATTAAAAAGTAATAATTAAGCTATCTAGCCACAACAAGGGCAGAATCCCATAGAAAGGACAGGGTTACCTCTTTAGAGGAGCTTCAGTAGAAAAAAAAATTTTTTTTAATGTCAGATAGTATAGTTAGTACTATGGACTAATAGAAACAAATGGCAAACCGCTAACAGCTTGTAAAACAGGGCTGAACATTTTAAAGCATTTTAGACGTCTCACAGGTCAGTTCAGCCTCCAGGCCATAAAGCTTTTGATGTGGTGTCAGTTTCATGACGGAAAAGTAACTTCCACAGTCAATAGAATGCACACAACTGAATGGAAAATGCATACCAGCTACAAACCAGGGCTCTACAGTACCGGATTCATGGCTTTACTAATATTTCTACACCAAGGAAGCTTCATCTTTTCTATATCTTCCATATTTAAAAGTCTAAGTTTTTGTTTGTTTGTTTTTTGAGGCAGGGTTTCTCAGTAGCTATGGAGCCATTATTGGAACTCACTCTGTACACCGGGCTGGCCTCGAACCCACAGAGATCCGCCTGCCTCTGCCTCTCGGGGGCTGGAACTGAAGGTGTGCACCACCCGGCTAAAAGTCTAATTTTTACTAGTGCAGTGAGTGTCTGCCAGGTGGCATTGTCAGGGTGGCTTCTAAAAAGGAGCCCCACGCCTTGAGCCATTCATTAATCAAACTCTCCCCTCAGCCCAATACTTAAGTAACAGAATCTAATAACATAATGTGCAATAACCAGAATTCCTTTTACTTTAACCAAACATTAGACTGCAACACCACTCAAAGCCAAGGTTTTCAGGAACCCCCCTCCCCCACCCCTCAGCACCAGGGAGGCATTAATTCAGGTTTCAGGACAGTGACTCAGCGTAAAAAGGAATAACAACTTCACGAACCCGTTCAAGAAAATAAAATCTGAACAGTGGAGAACACACTGTCCAAGTTCGGCGCCTACTTCGTAGAGGGAAGCATTCCCTCTCCTCAGAAGGGCTTGAAAGCTGAGGCCCATTTGTCTCACTCCGGATTGGGGACATATGGGTCAGGCTTCTCTTGTGGCTACTCAGGAAATTGTGAAAAAATTCTCACTTTCTGGTTCTTTTCTCCTAACAGTAATAATAACAAACACCCCGCTTGAAACAAAGCGGCTTGTGGTAGTTTTCTACGCAAACACCCGTCCGCACCGCGTGTTTGTTTGGTGGACGAACGGAAGGAGGTAAAGGCACACAAGGCTCTTAAGATTTTGGCACATATTCTTTAGCTCATGCAGAACCTGGAGAAAACTAGGGAACAAAATGTTCGCAGTTCCAGGAGACCCAGGGTGCCTTGATAAGATTTTCATGGAACAACGCCCGCACACAATCAAGACTTGCACAACTTTGGAGACAATAACGTTGCCACCAGATAGGTAGGTAAGGTCTGAAACGGCTATAGGCAACAAAGTATTTACAGCAGTTGCTAGTATTCAATATTTAGAAATTTTACTACAAGGCTGATCCCGGGATAGAATCTTAGGCAGGCGGGAGTGTGACCCTGCCTTTTCAGGCCTGTGGCTGGCACTTCCAAGGTGTTACCAGTATCTTCTAAATGCACAACAGACACAGACAGGCTGCGGAGGGCACTGCACGTGGTTAAGAAAATGAAGGACCGCATCCAACTTTGGCACCCACTGCGGCCCCCCGTGGGCCTAATTCTTGCTGGCCGCGGGAGGGGCGGGCAGCCTGGAATCTTCCTTACTCTTGTGTTGCTAGGGAGTGGTTTGGGGCAAAGAAACTTAGTACAGTGGGAGGGTGGGACGGGGGAGAGCCCGCACCAAGCTCTCCCTCCGAGGAGCATTACTGGCAACGTGAAAGTTAAGGGCAGCGGGGACCACGCAGAAGGTTCTGGAAGTTGGGCAGGCCGCGCTCGCTCGCTCGCTCGCTCCCCCCACCCCCGGGAGTGCAGCCCGCCCGCGCCCCCGGGCCGCGCGCGCGCGCTCACCTGAGCTCCAGCTGGTCCAGGCTCTCCAGCAGGCGGCTGGAGCGGTCTGCCATGGACGAGGAGCGACAGAAGCGACCCTCGTGGGCCTTGGCGCTGATCTTCGCCTGGGCCATGAGCTCCGGGGGTCCGCGGCGTCCGCGGGCGGCAGTGGCGCGGGCCGCACGTCGCCGTCACCGCGGGCGCCGCTGACGCGGACGGCACCGCCCCCGAGGCCGCGCGGCCAAACAAGGGCAGGCGCGGGCGCAGCCGCCCGCACGCCGGTGGGGGACCCTGTCCCGGTGCGCGTCGCCCGCCGGCTCGCGGGCGGCTTCTGCAGTTTGTGCCAGCACCCACAGTTCACGGCAAATGCGAGATCGTGTAGCCCGTGACGTGGGAGAGAAGGACAATCGAGTGCGTGCGCCTTAGGGGAAGTCTCTACTTGCCCGACCTGCCCGGTTACCAGGCAGGCTCCTAAGAGGACAGGAGGAGCCTGGGCACCTCTGTGCTCCAAATAAGGAGACGCCAAGTGCATCTATACTGTCTCGCCTTTCTAGTGAAAGGTTGTTACTTCCACACCCGACTTATTGAAATTCTCGGTGAATAATATTCAATAGGCTCCCGTGTCAGAAGCCGCAATGGTCAGCAAGAGATGCAGTAGGGCTGAAATCCAAAGCCTTGCCTGGTTAAAGTTGTGTTTTCCTCTCTCAGGGCACAGAAAAAAATGGGAACTCAAAGCCATTCGCTTACACAGCTGGCTTCTAGCCCTCCCTCCGCCCCCAACTCATCTTAAGTCTAAGGAAGAGTGGGCTGTCTGGCTTCATTAAACATTGTGATTTCATGACACAAATGTGAAATCTGAACGTTTTGTGAATGTTTTGAAAAATCTAAGCTTGCATAGGTCTAATGCCAGTTCATGTGGACACTGAGAAAGGATGTGTCTCTTGGGCCAGAGTGAGTTCAAGGCTAGGCTGGGTGGCTTTGGCAAGAGCCCCAAGTCTTAAAAAGGAAAATGGGTTGCAGACATGGCTCAGTGGTATAGAATCTGCCTTTGTCCGAGGTTAGCAACTGAGCAAGGGAGGTGCAATGGATTCGATGTCTCTCATGCTCTCTGGCATCTGGTCCTCAGTTGGTGGCTGTTTGGGGACGATTATGTGTGGCCTTGCTGGAGGTAGTATGTCACCGTGGGCAGGTTGCAGAAGACTAGCTATTCCCAGTGTCTCTGTGCCTCCTGGAACTTGCTCTGTAGGTCAGGCTGGCCCTGAATTCACAGAGATCCACCTGCCTCTGGCTCCTGAATGCTGGGATCAAAGGTGTGCACCATCGTCCAGTTTAAATGATTTATGAGTTGCCTTGGTCATGGTGTTTTATCACATCAAAAGGAACTAATATAGCAGACATCTACAAAGTATCCATTTTATTTTAATGTTGCTTCACAAGTCGGGCACACAAAGGTGTTTCCAGACGTGTGCCAAGTGTGTACTCCTATCTAAAGGTGTGTAGAAAGTATGCTCCTGCAAGGCCAGGCTCCCACTTGTATAGACTCTCTGGAAGAAGCCCCCAGTGCTTTCCGAGTCTGTGGAGAGCTTTGTTTTGATAACTGCTCCCGTGTTCTTCCTTTCTGCCCAGTACAGGTTGCCAACCTTTGCCGTTTACATCCTGGCTGTGCTTATTTTGGTTTCACAACCAGCAGGGCGTTTTGTTACAGATTTGGTAATTTTCAGGTTTCTAGAGTAGAATTACTCTGGACTTTCAATCTCATGTCTTAGACCCAACCCATTAGTGAGTCCCGACGCTACCTTCAGAATGTATCTTGCGTCTTCCAATCCCACTATCGATGGTCAGTCTTCCCTGGGTGACTACAGAGTTTCATCTGCTCTCTCAGCGTCGATCTTGTCTCTCTTGTGAATTAATACAGTATTTAAGCACGATAGATTGTGCCAGACTCTCAGAAATCCCGTTGCTCACCACAGAGTAAACAGGAGACGCACCATCTCTCGCAAGTGCGTGTCATTTTTGCAAACATCCTAAACCAAACCACAAGCCAGGGGCTACCTTGTATATTTTTTTTTTTGCATGGGTCATTCTTTCGCCTTCTTTCAATCTTTGCTTAAGTTCACTTTGCTTAAGTGAAATTTTCCTGACCACTGTTAAAAATATCAAGCCTGAGCTAAGCAGAGTGGGTGCGAATCTGTAGTCCCAGTGAACAGATAGATACCGGCGGAGGCAGGACCTGGATTGGAGGCTAACCTAGGCTACACAGCAAGATGCTGGCTCAAAACAAGAATTGTAGGGCTGGAGAGAGCTAAGTGGAGAAAGTGTTTGCCTAGCATGTATGCTGTCTCAGGTTTGATATCCCCGGTCCTGCAACCAAGCCTGAATCCTGAACCATTCTCCTCCTCCCCATTTACCGAACCGTCCCCAGTAGGTACAATTTTATCTATCTGATTGTTAGCCAAGGCTATCCATGTAGCCCACTCTCCATGTCTGAGCAGTCGAGGGACCGGAGCTCTTAGGATCAGTGTTGCATCTCATGTACTGCAAGCAGCTGCTGTTACTTGGTGGATCCACAGTACTTTGTGAACAAATGAATTAATGATGAAATGAAAGAGAAAATTGTTATCAATTTTAGAAATATACTTGTGATAATGATCTACAACTTTGTTATTAATGATTCCTGACTAAATTCAAATGATAACAGTTTTATAGTGTTTTAAAATATTCAGCGAGTGATGATGTCAACACAGTAAAGAACACCATTTGGGGGTGGTCAGTGTACGGGTGCGAGCAGAGTGGACATCTCACTACACTGTTTCCTCCTCCTAAGAGCCTCGGTGAGATCTCTTGTCAAACCAAGAGGTTCATGTGAGCAAATCACCTTAGGCACCTACACAAACACTGAGCCACACACCTAACACAAAAGCTCCCTAAGAGACCAGTACCAGTATACACCAGGCTTGGATGTGGAATTTCTAGCAAAAGAACGCAAATGTTTCTTCTTGTTCCAGATCTGCTTAGCTACTTTTAAGGTTGTCTTTCTTGCTGTTTAGCAAGCTCCTGCAAACGTGTTTAAGATCAACACGAGGACTGCCTTTTAGACTCTTTAACATGAAATGTCAAAGCAGCCTGGGCTGCACGATGACACCTTCTTAAAAACAAAAAGAAAAATAAAGCATAGTCTGGTTGATTACGCAATACAAATAACAAATTCTCAAGCTATAATATCGACCTAAAAACAATCTCTAAGCAGGGCTAAGGCATAAGGCACGGTGGCAAACCCGTGATGGGGATTATTACTTTCAGGTGTGTGACTTTTGTCTATGCTGCATTTGTTTAACTCTGTGAAGCTGTGTTACTTTGCCTGCCTAAAACACCTGATGGTCTAACAAAGAGCTGGGCGGCCAATAGTGAGGTGGGAGTGAGGACGGGGTAGAAGAGAGTGATAGCTGGAGGCTATTCTAGCACTAGCTCCTCCAGGACAGCTCTGCAGAATCTGGTAAGACTTTGTGACAAAAATAAAGAGTGTAGGCAGAGGACAAGCGATGCTTTGAAAACAGCCCCTGGGATTGAAGGTACGCCAGGAAAGGACCAAGATTATATGCAGCTCAAAAAGTGACATTAAAAAAAAAAAAAAAAAAGATTTCTAGTATGGATAGAATGCACCAACAATTCTATTTCATATTAGACTATTCAGTATTCAAGCCATATCTTTAAAAAAAAAAATGAAACAAAACAAAGCAAAAACCCTTCTTATTTAGAAATTAGCGTTTTAGTCTTTTGAGGCATGATCTCACCATAGGGTGGTCCTACTGCCCTAGACTTCTTGAGTCTTGGAATCACTGGTGTGACCAGCTAGAGAAATTTGTTTGTTTTGTTTTCTTCAAGACAGGGTCTCACTATATAGCTCTGGTGGCCCTGGAAATCACTGTGTAGACCAGGTTAGCCTCCAAAGTGCTGGGATTAAAGGCGTGCACCACTATGGCCCAGAAAGAGAAATATTTTTTAATACTGACAAAGTAAGACTTGAAAACTTTGTATGAGATTTCTGCCTAAAAACATGAAACATACATGCATATCAAGACAATATGAGATTCTTATTCTTCCACTGATAAAAGGGTTTACTCACAACGGAGCTTCAACACTTAAAAACTAAATATGTCATACCAGATGTAACTCAATGAATAACTAAAATAAAGTCAACATGAAACTGAATTTTTTTTAAGAGTGAAGAATTATTCCTCAGCAGACAAGACCTTCAATATTATTTCTTGAAAAGTATATATATATATATATATATATATATATATATATATATATATATATCATCAGAAAACTTCTTCCTTTCTATTTTTTTCTTTTTATTTTTTTTCCCCCCGAGATAGGATTTCTCTATGCTCTCTGTGTAGACCAGGCTGGCCTTGAACTGAGGGATCTGCTGCCTGCCTCTACACCCCAAGTGCTGGGATTAAAGGTGTGCATCACCACTGCCCAGCCAGAAAACTTTTCAAAATAGATTTGCATGGATATATAAAAGGACTAATATTAAAATAAGTATAATTCTAAGTATATACTTTGATATTTGAAGTTATACAAAAGGCTGAAAGGGATAGCAAAGTTTCATTTTAATTGTTTTAGAGATATTTTTATTGTAGCAATGTGCAGCTCTAATGAGAGCAAGATACAGCTGCATGACAGCACACAGAACCTTGCTGGCTTTAATCTGTTTCCATAATCAATTCCTATTACCCATTTCTAATAGTCATAAGCAATCAAAGTATATTATATATTATGGTCACACAACACAGCAAATTCCTGGAATAAACTGAGTTATCGCACCTTTTATTCATATTCATTTTCATTCCTAAAAAAATAAACTAGAGACATTTGTACAGTACAAATAAAGATATAATGCTACAGGGAAAACATACAAGTCAAGAGCTTTACACATTTTTCCCCCTTTAGAAAATGATTTTAACCTAAATGCACGAATTCTAAATTAGCTGGAGAAACACTGACACCATTATTAGAATATAATTTATGTTTTCCATACCTTTCATTCAGTTTTACCCAGTAGCACAAAATACAAAGCAAATACAAGATTCCAAACATAGGAAAGAACAAAACATGTTTTTAGATACATTTATCCTAGTAGATTTCTGGTCTCCTTTAGAAAACAAAGTCCAGAATTCATTTTCCTGAGTCTCTTCAAGGCCACTTGATGTTGTGTGGTAATAATAACTTTAATTACATTTCCTCAAGGCTTCTTCTAATAGCTTCTTCTAATTCCACATCTGCAATAAAAAACAGAATTTTAAAACAGAGTGGGCAACTAATCACGGTGCTGCTTGTGAGTTTTATTAACACATACCTTTCCAAGAAGCAGGGTCCGAGTGGATGAACACACAATGCAATGGAGTTCCTCGATAAAAATCAGTATTTTGAAATAAGAGAATCTGGACACGACCCCAAGTCACCTATACACCTGCACTTAGTTTAGGTTCAGAGCCGGAGAAACTCAGCAGACTTTATTAGTACAGTGAACAATGTCATTTATCTCCCGAAGGATTCAGGATGACACATGTAAGAAATGGAACAGTAGGTTGGTTGGGATGGCTTAGGAGCATTTGACAATCCTGGGGAAACGTTAAAGAAACAGAATCCAAGCATGACAGCACCAGCCTTTAGCACCAGCACTTGAGAGACAAAGGCAGATGGAGCTCTGTGAGGCCAGCCACAAGGCTACAGGGGCACCACTCACGGGGGCGGGGGGGGGGGGTCAAAAGAGTCAGATCTCTGAGTTTAGGGCTAACCTGGTCTACATAGCAAGTCCTAGGCTAGCAAGGCTACAGTGAGATCCTGTCTCAAAACACAAAAGAAAGGAGGAGGTGAAACTAGGTAAAAAGGGGAGAAGGGAGGGAGGGAGGCAAGGTAATACTATTTAAATGGCTGTTACATTTGCTTCTGTCTGTCAGCTACACCTCAGTAAGGCTCAGGGAAAATTAGCTTAGCGCTAAGGCAGAAGGAAGCTCTCAGCGACATGACATCTGAGAAGTAGGCGGGGTAGGGGCGCACCTGTCACAAAGGTTTGCTAAGTGCATATAACATGCCAGGGACAAGAATATAGTCCCTGCCACATAAGCATGAGACCGTGAGTTTGGATCCCCGTGACACATATAAAATTCAGGCCTGAAGGTGTGAGCTTTGTAACCCCAGCACTGGAAAGGCTGAGACAGAATGACAGCGCAGCTAAAATGGTAAGCTCAGTTCAGATTCAGTGAGATACCCTGTCTCAAAAAAAACAAAAAACCAACCAAACAAACAAACATACCAACCAAACAAATGAAAAAACAAAACAAACACCATCACCACCAAAACAGAAGTGGAATGTTAACCTCTGGCTTCCCCATACATAAACACATGAGTACACACATGCAATACACACACAGAGAATACAACAGTGAACAGGATAAGCATCCCTGGCTCCCAGGTCGTTCTCGATGCTCCCACTGAGAATGAGACTGAAACCCACAAGGGTGGATTAAGAGTGAATGCATTATTTCTTATTAGCTTCTCACCACACCTTTCCCCATCTGGGCTTCCATGCACAGACACTAGTGGCACCTGTAGGAATTCTCCTGAGCCTCATTTTCCTGCAAGGGGAGCTCTGCAATTTAAAAATACTAAAAGCTAGTCTAGACCATGCATTAACTCCAGGGGTAGTGAGATACCCTAAGATGAATTCAAAGAAGTGAGGTTAACACAAGCAAAGCTATGATACTTTGCAAAACGCAGATTTTAAACGTCTATATAAACTTAAGTAATTAAGAATGTGGTGTTACTGATAACAGAGCCAAAGAACAGCAGAGTGCCTTACATAGACAACAATGCATGTATGGGCACCTGAATACAACAAAGACAACCTAGGAAAATATGCTCTTTTCAGTAAACGGAGGTAACTCAACTAATAGGCCATGTAGGAAAATAGAGATTTAGCCCTATCTTAAGGAATGTACAAAAACAATTTCCTCATATACTATATAGCTAATTGTAAAGGCAAAAACAAAAGAAAAAATGCAAGGAAATATAGATTAATGATATAAGGATAATTCCCAAGATTATGGAAAAGGTCGATAATACAACTGAATTACAACTACTTTTATTGCTGGGCACTGGTGGAGCATGCCTTTAGTCCCAATGCTTGTGAGGCAGAGGCAGGTAGATCTCTGAGTTCAAAGCAGCCTGGTCTACAGATCGAGTTCCAGGGCACCCAGGATTACACAGGGATACCGTCTCAAAAACAAACAAGCAAACAAAAACAAACAAGCAAACTACTTTCATCACTCAAAAGGCACATGGCACTCCACAGGATAAGACAATGGGGTGACTGGAACTCGGTTTGGGCATACAGCCCGAGCATGCAGCTCAGTCCTGACAAAAAACAAACAGGCTGGAGACATGGTTCAGTGGTCAGGAGCGTTTGCTGCTCCCTCAGGACCTGGCCTTGGTGCCCAACACCCACACGATGGCTCACATCCATCCACAACTGCAGTTCCAGGGGATCTGACCCTCTTGTGACTTCCGTGGGCAGGAGGCATGCACATGGTGCACACACATACATTCATAGAACGAAATAGATCTTAAAAACAAAACAAGATAGAACACATGGCATTGCTCAGTGTCACAAAAGGCCAATCAAAGTCACAGAGTGGGAGAAAATATCTGCCATACACAAAACTAGTGCCCAGAAAAAAAAAAAAAAAAATCTTTAACCCATAAGTACCTAATTGATCCAATAGAAAAAAGATGTTTGAAAGGGCATCAGGTACCTAGTTAGTTAGCAAACATTACTCATTCGGGGAAGGAGTAGCATGCCTAGGAAGTACACTACAAAACAATAACAAAATAACCACACACACTATTAGTGATCCAAAAATGTAAATTAACCTACAATGGCTGGCAAAATAAGAAAAATAAACACCAGTATACATTATTTAACTAAGATTAAAAGGATGAACGTCCTAGGTGTGCTAGTTCACAACAGATACCCCACTCATGAGACTGAGGCCGGATGGCCACAGGTTCAGAGTTGGCCTGGATTACATAATAATAATAATAATAATAATAATAATTACATAATAATAATAAATTCCAAGGTTGCCTAGACTAGTTTCATGATCAATAGTGAGGTTGTCTTATTGCATATAACACAACCACATTGGAAACCATTATAGTAATATGTCAACTTCAAGTTCAACCTCAGCAATTCCTGTCCAAGGCATATATTTCCAGAAATAAGAAGAGATATACAGCAAGAATCATGAATGGCATGAGAAAAACACAGCTGAATCACTTCCATCAAAATATACAAAGAAATTAAAGGTCTATTCAACAAGCAATCGTTTAATGCTCAACACCATGCTAAGTTCTGTTGGAGGAAAGAAATAAACAGGCAAAAATCTGAATTCCTCTCAATGGTGTTTATCTTCCAGTGGTCCCGGCAAAGCAACTTGACAATACTTTCTGTTTAAGCTCAACTGAAGTGTTTTGTTTGTTTGTTTGTTTTTCTCTGCCAAACCATCATTATGTGAATGCTAAACACAGGCTTAGACGCTAAAGATCATGTTGGGAAAACTTGTGGGGCAAGCCATTTGTTTCTAATTAGGTTGTGGATTTTCTGCCAACTTAGTTAGCCTGTGACTTGGCTAAAAGTTTAGACCACAGTTGAAGTTTATTAAAAAGGTAAAATAAAATCAATTCCGCCACCAAACTCAAATTCCCAAGCTCCTCCAGCACACAGCTATAGGGGACTCTTGGGAGACTGAGTAAATGCTCGGAAGTAAATCAGCTGTGTGTTCAGCCACATTTCCTTCCCTACTTCCCCAGCCTGTACATCCCTGCCTCAGGGCCCACAATACTATTAATTACAGTGATGTAAGTGAACACCGTTTCCCTTTCATTAACAGATACCACTATACTTTCATCAGTGCAATCTGAAGTACTTTTTAACATCTACTTACTACTCTTCCCTGGTTATTAAAAAATACAGTCATTATGGAAAAGTTAAAATTAAAAAGCTGGTTAGACAAGGACTGACAAACAGCTCTGTGGCCTATGAAAGGAAAGAACTTTTCACTGGAGGAGGAGGAAGTGTGCATCTATGGCGGTTTGAATGAAAATGACCCCCACAGTTCTACAGGGCGTGGCACTATTAGGAGGTGTGGCCTTGTTGAAGTGTGTCACTGGACGGTGGGCTTTGAGGCCTGAGATGCTCAAGCCAGGCCTGGTGTTTCACCCTCTTCCTGCAGTCTGCCAATCAGGACACAGGACTTTCAGCTACCTCGACAGTATCCACCATGCTTCCTGCCATGATGAGAATGGATGAAACCTCTGAACTGCAAGCCAGCCCCAATTAAATGCTTTCCTTTACAAGAACTGCTATTATCATGGCGTCTCTTCACAGTATTCAGAAACCCCAACTAAGACAGTTCTTAACACTTCATTTGCAAACTAGGCACTGGACTGGATGTGGCCACATGGCCACAATGTGTTAACAAGCTCTGGTCTAGCTTTACTTTCCAATCATCGTATGTAAGGAGAAAATCTTTTAACAGAAAAGACATAGGGAATTGCAAATGACGACGAGGATGATGACGACACACGCTCAGGTGTGGCAGGGATGAGCTCTTACCCTCTGTGGACCTGAGCCCCTCTGCTGGCGTGCCTTCCTCTGCTGGCGTGCCTTTAACTCCGGTGCTGCCATCACTGTCACTCTCTGCAGGGGACAGATGCAGACAGGGTTCTGAAAAACTGTGGCCTACGTCCCATATTCTCAAACAGTCCCTCTACGTTGTTACTGGATCAAACACAACAGAGACAAAAACAATCCCACTCTGTAGCCAAGGCTGGCTTCAAATTCACAGCAATTCTGCCCCAGGTGTGGACCACTTCGCTTGCCAAACGACAGTATTTTCAAAGACTTTTCTCATACCAAGTTTATTCATAAGTAACCCACTGCTAGCCCCGAAGGCACGGTTGTTAATGTTTACCTAGTAATATAAAAAACTGACTGTCTCCTATATTTTCAGATCATAGGTCCTCTTCTTTACAAAGATAATAAAAAAGCCCTAACTGACAATGGCACATGGCACAGGCTCATCGAATGCCATCCAGGCTTTCATAATGAGCCTCAAATTTCTATAAACTGCCATGACAAACCAGCTATTAGAAAAATCACTTCTGGTATGACCAGTGTCCTTGTTATTTATTTGGCTAATCACTTTTAGTAAAAATTTAAATGGACATATATCAATGTATTAATATACAATTATCTAAGAAGACCTGTACATGAATAACATGAATATATCACAGGGACTGAATTACAGTCAATATAAGTAAATGTAAGTAGTACCTGGTTCTGCAAAAATATAGAAAACCATTAAAAAAAGTTCACAATTATCTATGAATAAAAATTAAATTTCTATATTTTACTATATACTTTCATTGCAAAAATTTTGACTCTTAAGCAAAATGCTTCAAATATTTCAAGCAGTAGCTTTTCATTTCACTTAGATTCTTTTCTTTTTCTCTTTTCTTGGTTTTCCAAGACAGGGTTCTTTGTGTCCCCTTGGCTGTCCTGGAACTTGATCTGTTGTTGGTCAGGCTGGCCTCCATCTCAGAGATCTGCCTGCCTCTGCCTCCCGCGTGCTGGGATTAAGGGCATGCGCTCCAGCCATTTCATTTAGTTACTGATCCTCATGCCACTATTCAAATGGTTGTTTCTGATTATACAAGACTCTTCCTTCTGTCTAACAAATGTTTCATTCGACCTTGGTGATGTTGTTTCTGAGAAGGACAGAACTTCTCGCTGTGTTACCTACAGAACAAGCTGTTGCAGGGCTGGAGCTAGAGCTGACTGCTAAGAGTGTATGCCAGCATGCACAGGGTCAGCTTCAAGTCCCAGCAACACTGCAACAGAAGGCGAAAGCACTTCTGTTTAACCCTAAAAATGAGAGTTCTGCTTGCTGGTTACGACTTACTACGGAGACAAACTTTTATGTAATACTATCCATTCACTTTTGAAAGAAAGCTTTCGACAGATTCTCAAAAAACTCTAGTGGGTCCCCCATCCCAAAACTAGTCTTAAGAAAATTGCCAAGAAATCTATAGATAGCTATCAATTGCTAGCAGCTCCTCAGCCGGGGGTAGGACTTCACACTGGGGATTTGGACCGGTGTGAGTTTATTCAAGGCCCCTGTACGTGTCTCAACAGCTGTGAGTTCCCAGGTGCAGCTGGCTGCCCTGCTGTGTCTGGAAGACAGTTACCTTACAGGCACCTACCACCTCTGGTTCAGACACTCTTCCTGCCTGCTGCTCTGCATTGATCCTTGTCACTTTTATTACTTTACAAACACAGCGGCTAGGAATAGCTCCTTTTTTAATGGCAGGCCTAAAAAACATAGTCTGATTCTCTGAACATCTATAGTGCTTTCTATACTGTGTGAAGACACATTCATACAAGTCACCAATTCTGGCAACCTAAGAAAACAGTGGAGTAACCCGCCTGACATCACTCAGCTAGGAAACTACAAAGTCAGCCTCCAATCAAGGCCCACATGCCCTTCCTTATTTGGGGCACTATCTTCGCGCTTCACACGGTTCCTCCCAAAGCAGTAAGTTCAAATGAACCCTGAGTACAGCAGCATGGAGAAGGACTGTGGAGACACAGAGTGTGCACGAGGCACATGCTGTGGTCACCGGGAGACTGCTGGTTACCTCCAACCCAGGCCCCCCCACAGACCTTCCCACACACACCACAGCACCCAGGCAGATAGAGGCACAGCACGTCTCGCGTCCAGAACTCCCTGAGAAACAGTCCCCACTACAGCACAAGGGAAGAAACATGAGGCTGCTTGCTGCAGCGTGGCCAAGGCACAAACGGAGGCTGCTGAGGACAAGAGTGAGGACAGACGGGGACAAGGGTCCTAGATAGAAAAGTTAAGTGGATGCAAATCAAACCTAAGAGAACAGGAAGGTAACGTTCAGAACTAAGGTAGGGTACAAATACGGCAGAGCTCATTTCCTCTTTGAATCCTGCACCAATACTGTGACTTTTTTGTGTGTGCACATCAGACACAGCTCTTTGGCTCAGCTCTGCTAAGGGCTGGATTACAGTCACATGCCATCACACCAGCTTCGTTCCTGTTTCAAAAAGTGTGGTTGAGCGCTCACATGCCTTTAGTCCCTGAGGTGGAGGCAAGAGGATCGGGAGCGCACATCAGTCTGGGCCATAGAGACCATTCCAACCCCCTCTTCCCCAAAAGAGGTCGAATAAAATCGTAATTTGTAGAGTCAATTGATCTACTGCGACTGATGATTAGAATAACATTCTTCTTTATGAGTTTTCAGTAAAAATATGGTTTCAAATATATTAAAAGAAAACACCTAGAGACAGAGCTGGGAAATGCTACACACTCCCGAGAAGTAGCCAGTTTTCTCTGAGGCCATTTACCTAAATCTTCAAATCTTTTTGCATTTTGTTTTGAGACAGGGCTCACGTATCATTATCATTACTGGGGCGTCTTTTTTTTTTTTGGTTGTTATTTTCAGAAACATGGTCTCACTTTGTAGCCCAAGCTGCCCTGGAACTCCTATCTATCCTCCTGCTTCAGCCTCTCAATTGCTAGATGCACCAAGTGTGAATCACTATAGCTGTCTATTAGAACATTAAAATATCATTCTTGCAAAGATATGAATTCTGAGTTTTACTGTGTTTTAAGACATGAATATATATTTTACACAAGTGGATACTGACTTTATCTAGTAGACTAAAAAGGGCTTTGTAAAATTTCTGTGAATTACCCTCATTCTGAAATAGTAAAGAATGACAATTTAATGCCAGGGCGGAAGAGACGGGGGGGGGGGGGGGGGGGGATCAGGAGTTGAAGGCTAGCCTCGGCTACATCAGCCCGTACCAGGCAGAAGTTTGAGGCCAGCCTGAGCTAGAAGAGCTCCTGCTCAAAACAAACGAGAGCACAAAGGGTTAGGAAGTAGGCAACGGTTCACTAGCAGACAGAAGTTTATTGGTTTCTCTCAGCAGTGAAATCTCCTCCTCTTGGGTGGCTTGCATTGTGGCGGCAGCTGCATACCTTTGGTAGTATCGGATATGCTATTTAACAAGGCACACATCATGTCTCCTTCCAAGTGGTGAGGGTTTAGTATATGAGCAGGCCTCTGAGTCTTCTTAAATTGATTCTCTAGCTCCAGAAAGCCTTGGTCTCCAGAGAGGATGGTGAAGGGAATTTGCTTGGGCAGTTGTTCATCTAGTCGGCCAGCCTAAGTTGGAACAAATGGCACAGGTTCTTAGAGATGTGCAAGTTTCAAATCAAGTAAAATATATTTCACAGTGAGCACATACCTAGGAAAGTATGTTAGAATCATTTCCTAGCCAGCCTTCATAAATGAAGTATGATATCCATTAAATCAAATATAAGATGTCAATAACACAAGATAGCCTACGTATGTATGTACCATTAAGGAAAAAGAAACAGCCAACTAAACTCCATGTACAAAGGAGGCACCTGAACGAAGGAGGGACCCAAAAGGCCACCGATGCAAGAAGGCAAAGAAGCCCTCACAGGGAGGATGCACAACAGGGGAACTGTGGGGCTCAATCCAAGGAAGAAGGAACCTCGTGAGGTTAAAAGAGCAAGTGACACCTTTGCAAAAGCATTCATTCACATTACAGGAGTGACCCAAAACATTCATGCAGAGCAGAGGACTTAATAGAAAGCGAGTCCTGGCTCAGCCCTTTCGCTGGGTGACGGGCAGAGGCAGATGTAAGTGCGAGGTCCATCTGGGCTACAGTGACCGGTGCAGTGTCCTCCGTTTCAGATCTTAATGTGAAAGTATATTAGTACACAGCAAGTACGGCATCATCAACTATTTATCCCGTAAGGAACCATACAGATGAAGATCGCCTAGAGGACTGACCTAAGCAGTAATTAAGCGTGTGGTGGGTCCTTGCCAGACCATACAGCAGCAAGTAGACCGATGCAGAAAGCTTCATAAAACTCACACTGAATAATGAACTATGCTGCCATTCCAGTTCCAGCGGGAAGAAATCCAAATGGATCCTGGATTGACATTAGGTTTTTTTTTTTTTTTTTTTTTTTTTTAGTTTTTCGAGACAGGGTTTCTCTGTGGCTTTGGAGCCTGTCCTGGAACTAGCTCTATAGACCAGGCTGGCCTCAAACTCACAGAGATCCGCCTGCCTCTGTCTCCCGAGTGCTGGAATTAAAGGCGTGCACCACCAACACCTGGCTTTTAATAAAACACCTACTTACATGCATACATATGGCAAAATCAGCAGCATCTTTCCTTTTACTACAGCGAGGATGAAGGAAGAAACATCCAATCCTGTTCAAGTAATTATAGATCTTACAGCTGAGTGGGGGCTTCCAGTTGGTGTTTCCTCCTATTAATTTTAGAAAAAAATATAAATGACAGTCAAGCAGGGACAGAGAAGACCAAAAACCTTTTCAAGGTGAAATATAACCTATAAATATTTTTTTTTCTGAAAAGTACTAGACTACAATGAAAGACTCAGTATTAAAGTGCGTCCCACAATGCACAGAGCCTTTGCTTTGTCCTCCAGAACCACGTAAACCAGGCCTGGTGGTGCAAACTCATGTAGGGGGTAGGCATGATAACCCCGAGTTCAAGGAAACCCTCAGCTACAAAGCACATTGGAGGCCAGCCTGGAGCTGCCTGAGATGCTGCTGTCTGGTCGCAGAGGCATCACCACCATACTGCTTTACAGTCTAGGGAATGGAGACGGACTCCTTTAATCTACCCACACGTGCACAAGTTCATGGCGTCGAGGACGGAGAGATGGCTCAGTGGTTAAGAGTACTGGCTGCTCTTCCAGAGGACTGGTCTTTGATCCCCGGCACCCACAGGTAGCTCACAACTGTCTGTAACTCCTTTCAGTAATCTGACATCCTCTTTTGGTCGCCATGAGCACCAGCAGGTAATACATAGACACACATACAGGCAAATCTCCCATACACGTAAAAAGTAACTTTTCTTCAGTTCATATGGATAGTGAGCAGAGTTAAAAAAAAAAAAAAAGTTAACAGTCTTTGAATGGTATCATTCTACATAAATTCAAAATTGTGTGGATCTTACAAGTGTGCCAAAAATCAGTGGATAAAAATGCATAGCATCTAAAGATTTCTATTTATACCCTAGGATAGTGCTACCCTTGCTCTCAATCTTCCTCAGAGAGGCTTCTCTAGTATGGGCTCAAGTTAAACCAGAGACTCACAGCTAGTTTTAGTGCTGAGATAGTTAAGGTTGAATGACCAGTTACATCTCTGTAACTAACCCCTTCCAATGCCCAGAAAACACAATGGAAGAGGAAGAGGAAGAGGAAGAGGAAGAGAAAAGAACATGAGAGCCAGAGGCTGGAGGGCTGCTCTGAAACCCCATCATCCGGACAAGTCAGGGCGGGCGCCTCAACTGAGAACTCACATCAGCATCCCCTAAGGAACTGGAGAGAAGCTCCTGGGAGTTGGAGGCAGTCATTGGCTTGAGTGGCGCAGTCACTGTTAACTGCCCCTGCTCTCCGAAGAGCCTCCAACCCACTCATGAAAGCAAAACCCAGGTGTGAAAATAGAAGGAGCATGTTTTACAAAATAGGGGTAGAAGTGAGATGTGAGACAGAGATGGGGCTGAAAATATACAGAGATGGGGCTGAAAATATACATATACATACATGTACACATATGTATATGTATGTATGTGTGCATATATATATATATATGAAATTAACAAGAACTTTCCAAAATTAAAAAAGTGAGGCAATCAGCAGAGCTAGACTTACTAAAACACTAGTTTGTAACAGCTGAGTCATCTCTCCAGCTTTTATGATTTTAAACAACACACATAACTAGTCATATACAATCCTCTCAGCCTGCTTTCTTGTATCTTAAAAGCCTGACACATTTTAAGTGTTGAATGAATTCTTCAACGTGTATCAAAAGAAACATAAATTCTGGGTTAACAGTGCAATACTTTCCATAGAAATATGTTAACAACAACAAAAATCTAGAGCCAGCATCCAGATAGCTACTAAGTGGGAAAAGATGCTTGCCACCAAGATTCATGACCTAAGATTGATCCCTGGGACCCATATAATGTAGAAAGAGAATAGATTCCCACAAACTGTCCTCTGACCTCTACACACATCTACATAAAGTAAAATAAATCTGAACAAGTAATCTAGCAGAGTAATGCACAGTAATAATACACAAACTATGTTTTCATGTTCTATTCAGGAAGGTGCAAAGGGACCTTTTTAAATGAATCACTTTCTCAGAAGAGGTACCTCTAATGCTTCCCTTCTTAACCATACCTTGAAAGCCCCAAATAAACGTTCCTTGATTAAGGTGCCCAGGTAGATGACCAAAAAAGTTCGACCAGTTATCAAAATCTACAAAGACGATATGAGTCATGGTTCGCAGGTAGTCCACATCTGGAAGCTCAACTTCCTCCTCTAAGAACACACACAAAGAAAACAACATGAATTCAGTAAGAATGCTCCATAAAATATCCTAATTCCTCAAGTTTAGAAGACATTAGAGGTCCAATACGCAAGAATGTTAATTGTTCCTATTATTCACCTCTACTGAAACCTTTTCAAGGAATCCAAATCTGTATACACTTATACTAGATTATACTTAACATATTCACACCTGATCATATATCCTTCTTAAACTCTCCCTTGACAATAAGACCTTTGTACTTTTGTTTTGTTTTGAGACAGGATCTCATTTACTCCAGAATGGACTCAAACTCACTGTCTTATTGAGGTTAGCCTTGACCCTTTGTGCTAAGACCACAGGCATGCACTATCATGACTGGTTAGGGCTTTATTAAAAAAAAAAAAAAAAAAAGGAATTTGTGATAGATGTGATAGAGATTAATTTTTTATTGAAAACAAAGTTATTTTAAACAAATTAATGTACTAGTCAAATAGAAGTCCAAAGTTTAAGACTAAATAAAACTTCCCTATCCATAAATATTCAGTGTACATGAAAAGATTCATTAAGTTACGTCAAAACAGAAACACACAAAAATAATCTAACGGAATAATACAATACATAGTAGCATTAAATTATGCCCTAATGCTCTACCTAGAAAGGCTCAAAGGGACTTCTAAAATGAAGCAGAATACAAGTTAGGTGGCACACATCTCCAACCCAACGCTCTTGAGGCAGGGAGGAGATCGAGGTCTGAAGGCAGTCTGGGTGACCCAAGCAATGAAACCCCACAGACATGACTTTCAAGGTTATTTACCAAGAGTGCTCTTGGCACAAGAATTTGCTTTTCTTAATCTAGACTGATTTATTAGTAGCCCTCTGCCTTGAGGATTAAACATTCACGGCAGCACAAGGCAACCTCAAAGCCTGATCGATCCCACCGGAAGGAGAAATAGGTGTGGGTAGGAAGCGAATATCCCCAGCTTGGCTCTTCCTCGTCTCCCATTCTCCACTTCTTAGCCTACCTCCCCCTTCAAGCTTTCCCACCCTGACAAGGCCTTATAGTGTCCAGTGGTACTCATGCAAACCTTGAGATATTTTTAAATGAGTACTTTCTAGTGGGCCTAACAGAGGCCTCTTCAATGTATTACTTTCAGGTCAAGCTCTATCTATAGCTGTTAGAAATCTCAGACTTAGATGCTAGAGTCAACTTCTGTCCAACACAGACAAACACACATTGCCCCAACACAACGAGAAGACCAAGGGGAAAGCACAAGAAAAGGTAGAGCGGTGTGGCCGCTGCTTTACTTTTTTGGAACTAGAACTGATTAGACCATGAGAAGATTTAAGGCTTTCCTTCACTGAAAACCCACCACTAAAGGTAATATGCAGACCTAGGTGGGCTACAGAGCAAACCTGTGAGGGCGGTGGTTTATAACTCCACACACCTGTAGTTGGAGGTTCTACTGAGGCTGAGATAAGGAGGGTCACTCGAGCCCCCAAGTATGAGAACAATCGTAGTAACAGTTTAAGACACCACGCCACAAAATGGATGGGTGGTAGGTAAAGAAAGCCCAACCAGACTGCTGCTTGCACCCTCAGCGGCTGGGCTGCTCCCAGCCAACTGAACCAAGGCCAGAGTGCCTATGTTTGCCCAGGGAGGCTGAGGCAAGGTGCTCCACCCTGAACAACTGTCCTGGAGTCCAGCGGGTGCCAACACAGGGACAAGAACCAAGGGTCTTCTTTGTTTCTCAGCCGAAACCAGGGGTTTCTAGGTACACAGGCCCATTACAGAGGCCTTCGCAGGCCCCTCCTTTCCCTACTACAGAGGCCTTACACCATGTAGACAGATTGTGACAAATGTTAGAAACTATTTATTACTTGAAATATTATTGAAATGCTACTTTACAAATAAACAATTTAAAGAATAAAACACGAACCACAGAAATTGTATTCTATCAGCCAAAATTTATTCACTGTTACTATTCTACCTTTTACAATCCACAGGTTAATGGAAAAAGTCTACAGATTTATTGTATCTAGCCACAGTAACTTTTAAATAACATAAAGAACTATTCTATTTACTTAGGGCAGTCACACAGAGGGAGCTTCAAAGGAAGCACATAGGAAGGAATTTGCCTCTCAGCTCCACATCCTCATTTTTAGTCTTCTAATCACTAATTATTTACCACAAAGCTATGTTGCAAGGTAAGCTGAAGTTACATTTATGATTTTTCATATTTAAAGAATAGGCCAAGCAGAGCATGATAGCTTATGACTATAATCCCAGCACTTAGGGGGCAGGAGAATGGGCACAATCTGTGGACCATCCTAGGCTACAAGGTAAGCTGCAGGCTAACAGGCTAGAGTGTGATATCTTGTCTTAAAAAAAGAAAAAAAAAAAAAAAATCAAACAAAAAACCCTAATGTAAATAAAGTTAAAAAACAAGCAAACAAGAACAAGGCTAAAGAGATATAAAAGCAATTCACCCAGGGCGAGTGTTGTAGCTCAGTGATGTAGCACGCACTTAGCATGTAAAACCCTAAGCACAACACACACAGAAAGATACAGATGTGTGTGCCCGTGCATGCATGTCACACACACACACACACACACACACACACACACGGGTAGGGGGGGACACAGATGTGCATACACACAGAGGAAAAACCATTTACTTTTCCATGAACCTTCATATTTTTAGAAAAACATGACTTTAAGGTTCAGAATGACTTTAAGAATCTTTACGGAGTAGCAACACCTGTTATTTCTCAATATTCTCAAGAAGAGATCTCTATTATTACAGACCACACCCACACGGAACCCTGAGAGTGGACACCTCTGATCTCAACATTCCCTCAGCTTCTGCTAGAGAGTACACACACTAAGCTCCAGTGAGCGCGGGTTACTTGCCCCTCGCTATGCCCGTACCTATATTCTGGCAGTCGGCGTCACGCTCGGCTCCGTTCTCCACGTCCGAGTGTTTCTGATGGTTTGTCTTCGTCAGCTTCTTCTCAGCATGCGACACACCGGCGTCGCGCTTGCCCGAGCTCCCTCTGTCATTCGAGCCATGAGTCCCACTGGGTTTCTGGCAGGTGCTGTGCTTTCTGTGGAAGTGCTGTTGGGCGCTCTCGGTGTCCCTAAATGCTTTGGTGCAGACGCCACACTTGATCACATACTGCTGTTCCTCGCCACTGTTTTCTCTTCCGTGCACTTGATGGACGTGAGCAGCAATGTCGGCTGAATTCTGTGCCGTCGCTGAACACAAACTGCAGCGGAACCACAGCTTACCTTTGTCCAGCATGGTTTGAAGACATCTGTCATAATCTTCCTTTCTGTTGAGTTTACAGACGTAGCTCTCATGACAACCACAGCTTAGCAAACCACTGGTCTCTATTATTTTAAAATCATCCTCAGTTTTAATTGAGGTTTCAGCTTTTTCTGACACAAACACATAATCTATGCTGTGGTGATCCGTATAATGACTCAGAAACGCTTCTTCCTTGTTAAAAATAAGATCACAAAGCCCACAGAAGTACTTAACCTTGACCTCGTTGTCATGCTCGTCCTGGCAATGCCGGTACAGAGTTTCTACTTTATGGAAAGTCTTTCTGCAGTGGGCACAGCTGTACCTATGGAACTGATGGCTCGTCAAGGACATGCAGTGCTCTTTTACACATTCCTGGGAATCAAACATATCTTCACAAATCCGGCATTGCCACCTGCCCTTTGGAGGGCTGCTTGTCAGGCAATGATCAGCAACAGTAACAGGCGGAGGCGGTTTGTCGGCATCCAGATGACTCGCCACAGAGGACGATGGCAAGACTTCATCTTCTACCTCATCCATCTCATAAAAATATCTATGCCCATTATGGCGCTCAGTAATGTGTGCCATGATGGCACCTCTCTGTATTAGCTCCGTTTTGCATGTCCGACACCAAAATAGAAAGTTATTTAAATGTGCCCCTCCATGAAACCGGCTCATGTGTAAACGCATGACCCCTGAATCTTCACACACCTTTCCACAGACCACACATTTGTAACACATTGTGTTTGCTGAGAAAACATGCCTTTCCACTGCATCCTCACTAGGAAAGCGCCGATTGCACTCACAACACCAGGCTGTAACTACAGCTGAATTCTGTCTCTGCACACAGGCTGCTTCCCCCTGGCTTCCGCCTCCTAAATTCAGCTTCTTTTTCGGAATGACACAGTCCTCTGCACTGGACTCTTTAATAGGCATAATTCGTTTGAGTGACGAAAATCTTGGTTGATTGAATAAACGCAAATCACAGGGAGGCTTACTGCCTTCACTGATACGGCAGTAAAGTAAGACTGATTCTTCCACCGAGTTAACCACTGTGACTTTGTGTCCTGAGTTCTTGTGACTCTGGATGCTGGTTCCATCCACAAAGACCTGGTTGCAATCTGAACAATAACCTCTTACTATGAATTCTTCTGCAACCTGAGTAATGGTTTTCTCAGCTATAGCTACCGGTCCAGCATTTCGACAACGAACCCTAATTTGGATTATAAAAAAAAAAAAAAATATATATATATATATATATATATATATATATATATATATATATGTTTACTTTATATGTTAAGAATTTTAAAATAACAATATAAGTAGTAATTTTTCAATAAAGCAGTTAAGTGATACTCTATGATCTTGAAATACGTTTATATCACCTCTATCTTATCTCTCTAATCCATATAAAAGGACTTAAAAGTGGAATCAGAAGATTAAAAATATTAAAACAAACTTTAGAAAACTTCAGTCTGAAGTAAATTAGATTCAGAAAGGTCATTAAAATATATGAATGAACACTAAAATTCTAGACAATATTCCATTCTTTTTTTATTGCTGTTTTCTGGCTTTATTGTGGGATTTTTAATAGATTAATTTCTTTAACTGTATTTATCTATTTAGCATGTATGGGTGTTTTGTCTACACATCTGTTTACTTCTTGTGTGCCTGGTGTTGAAGGAAGCATCTGACCCCATGGAACTGGAGTCACAGACAGTTGTGAGCTACCAGGTGGGTGCTGGGAATTGAACCTGAGCCTTCTGGAAGAGAAGTCATGATGTGCTCTTATTCACCACCCAGTTTATTTCCCTTTTGGATAGTTTCATCATGTAACCAAGGTTGACCCTGAACTTGTAATCATTCCTCCTCAGCCTTCTAAGTGCTAAGGTTATAGATAGGCACCACAACTACCAGCTCTACTTATTTATAATTGACTAACTTATGTCAGACATATACTCTATCCATGTTTGCTTTTCTGCTGGTGATAAGCTGGACAGTCTGATAACGCTGACTCACATGAAGAACCCCTCTGCCTGTTAACTGCCATTCTATACCTCCATACTTCCCAACCACACTTCTCCCACTACGTTAGATTTGGCTACTTTCCAGGAAAACTACATCCTTGTTTTAAAGAAGAAACACGGAATAGAAAATACTTGCTGGACCCTCGCAATACTGAAAAACACACCATGATTTCTTTATGGCTTAAGTTTAGACCTGTACAAACCTGAAATGGGCAGTGAGCTCCATGTGGGAACGCAGAGTCTGGCGGCAGGCCACACACTTAACTTGAAACGGAACATCTTTGCACAGAGAGACCAAAAGTTTTTTTGCAAAAGATGGAAATGATATCGGATATGCTGTTACCTTATCATCTGAAAGACAAAATAAACTATAAATTGCAAAGTAATTTAAACAGAGGGTAACCCGATCTTTCTCTTCTTTCCCTTTCTGAACATCAGCTAAGTAAAAGATAGTTACATAGTTAGTAACATAAGGGAGACCATTTTTTTAGACTGAAATACAAAGAGTGCCTTCTACTAAAAGGAGTCTTAAATGCAGAGGAAGATCCAATTTCCCAAACTTCCCAGATAACAAAAACACTATCCTTAATAGATAGATGCTTTCTTGCAAGTTTCTTTCCATCCCTCAAAATGGGTAAAACATAGCTGTGTGGCCGAGGCACTTCCCTTTAATCCCAGCACTCAGGAGGCAGAGGCAGGTGGATCATAGTGAGTTTGAGGCACTCTGGCCTCCACAGTGAGTTCCAGGTCAGTCAGGGATACAAAGACCAATCCTGTCAAAAAAAAAAAAAAAAAAAGAGGGGGCTAAAACGCTAAAACATACAGATACAGATAAGTATTTCTTTAAAATAAGAATTTAAAGGAATGCATTTCTTTGTATGGTCCTAAACTGATAAGCATAGTCAAACAAAGTTTTGAAAAGCATGAAATGTAGCAGCAACACACTGACATACCACCCAGCTTAAAGCTCTGACGGAAATGACTCTTTGCAGACATATGCTTCAAACACTCGTCCTTGGTGGTGAACAGAAGAAAGCATTGTGGACAGGCAAAACACTGAATGACCTGAGGGGGGAGGCTACTGCTATGCCCATCGGCTGCAGCTACCTAAAAGAGAAGGGAAAGCCATGTCACAACTAAGAGCCGTGTGTAAACTAACACAATAAAGAGGGAACTTTTAAAACTTCCAATTTTGCATTGGGAAAATTTCATACCAAGATTACAACTAAAATCAATACTCAAAACACATTTCTAAAAAATTAAAACTTCCCATTTCATTTATCTGGAAATGTTCATACCAATTTTTGACTTTTCTTCCCTAAGTATGAATTATGTAACTTTTACCAGTAACAAGATACTGTAGGTAAAATTAACTTTTTTTCTGAAAATATTATAGACATCTTTTATACTAAATAACATTCATTTCCTATACACTTTCATTTCTGATAAATTCATGTATAACATATTAATAAACAAATATGACACAGTACACACTTCTGAATGCTTTGTTTTTTCTCTCTACCCTGAACTTCACTGATTACAATAAATATTTTTCAATAACCTTTTCTGTGTAATGATTTATAATCATACTGAGAAATTTATGAAGGAGAACGCTTATATGAAATGCTACCATTTTGTAAACTTTTATTAGCTCTTTCACTCCACAATAACTGACAATTTCCAAAAATCTACTGGCATCACTTGAATCCATACTTCCTACCAGCTGCAAACTAAGTGACAGTGAACATTTATTCTGAATCAGTCAAACATTCATTGTGAGTTTCCCTGGTTTGAGGTCACCCCACCACCCACCACCAACCGCCACACACTATAAACAGTGCTGTTGTAAACAACCTTACAAATGTACCTCTGCTTGTCCTCATTATTCCGGGGATCTCTATGTAGAAAGAAGGTGTGAACAGTTGGAAACTGAAAGATATTGCATGATTGCTTTTCGAAGGGCTCTATCAAGGTACTAGTATTCTCTAGCACAGAATAAACCTAGCAGCAATAGGGACTGGAGAATCTTTTTTATTATTCTCAATCAAGCAGGCTTACACCCCTTACTATTTTAATTTGCATTCCCCGCCTACAATTAAGTTTGAACACGTATTCTGACACTTCTTGGGAAATCTGGAAGTTTTCTTTCATGGATTCCTCACTCAAGTCCTTTAGAATTGTTTTCAGTTCTTTTGCTTGGTTTGTTTTCCAAGATAGGGTTTCCCTGAGTTACAGCTCTGGTTGTCCTGGATGGCACTGACTCTGTAAACCAAGCTGGCCTTGAGATCACAGAGATGGTCCCTGCTTCTGTTTCCCAAGCCCAAGTCCTGGGAATAGAGGCGTGCACCACCACCGCCCAGCCGTTCTCCTATCTTTAGCAGTGCTGTATCACTGGAATCACTTCTTTTTACTCCCTCTTCATTATGCAAATATTTCCCCAAACATCCCCTCGTGTTTGCTTATGGCCACTTTAAAAGTTCTGGATAGTCAAAAAGGTAGACCTTTTGTTTTCTGAGACGCAGTCCCACTACCCTGGTAATGTCAGACTCAGGGACTCAAGGGTTTTCTCGCTTTAGTCTCCTGAGGCTGATGCAGAGCACACAGGTATACACGACCATGCCTGGTTAGAAGTTTTTTGTGGCATCTAATTTTATTAACTCGATTTAGAGCCTCCTCTATCCCAAAATTAAATTTAAAATTGCACATTATAAGAAAAGGTATGTGTGTGACTGCTGTAAATTTCCTTCCTATTAACCAGCCTTACAGCAATAATCTTAAGATGTACACCATGTCTTCTTAGATGTACCTATCAGTGAAACCAGGAACTCAACGACTATACAATGCTTACGAGACACAAGAGGAAAGACGAGGGATTCACATTTACCCTGAGAACATGTCAAGGCCACACTAGGACTCCGAACACGTATCACGGGGCAGCGTTTCCTTCTTCAGTTGCCACCCCTGCTCCCACCACCTCATAAACCAGTTCTGCCCTCCAAGAGACCAATCCCGGATTTAAAGCTACCTTTGTTCCTCTGGCTCTGGTTCTACGCTCTTCTCCTTATTCCCTCATAAAACGCGATTGCGTTTTAATCTGACGAAGGCCACAGAAGATAAAAATCTAAGACAGTCTGAATTACATTTAGAATTTTATCAATGATGAGAGCAATAAACGCATTTACTGCCAATCTACAAGTTTCTCCTAATTTAAGAAACCATTTTTAGTTCAATTTCAGGTTATAAGCAGATCCAAAGTAAAAACTGAAGGTTTGCTAAGCAGAATCATAGAATTCTGCTTCTGCTACAAATTGTCATTATCTGTCAAGCAGTGGTGACACATGCCTTTAATTCCAGGAGACAGAGGCAGGAGGATCTCTTTGAGTCTGAGGCCAGCCTGGTCTACAGAGGGAGCTCCAGGACAGCCAGGGCTACACAGAGAAACCCTGTCTCAAAACCCTCAACCCCTAACCCCCAAAAAATGGAGTATTTGTAGAAACCATCTAGACATTAGACAAAGGAATAGGAAAGAGAATTTTCAGTAAGTCAAGCTAGAAAAATTTCTTTTTATCATGTTTTTAGTACATTAAAATAATATACCATACAAGGGACAGAGATATGGCTCAAAGGTAAAACTGCTTTGCCACACAAACTTGGAGATATGAGTTTGATCCCTTAAACCTTGTAAAGTTGAGAGACCCAACAGAATTTGAGAGCTGGAGAGACAATTCAGTGGTTAAGAGTGTAATGCCCATGCAGAGGACCCAGGGTCATTACCAGCACCCTCACTGAGGAGCTCATAACCTGTAACTCCAGCTCAGAGGATTCAACACCTTCCTCTAGCCTCCAAGGACACATGCACACATGCGCGTGAACACACACACACACACACACACACACACACACCACAAGGTTTTCTTTTTAAAGAATAAGATGCAATTCCATGTGTGACCAAAATCATAAGAGTATGTATAATATGGTAATTTCATGTACCACAGAAGGAAGAGTTTAATGATAATCTCTTGGACTGCTAGAGTTTAGCTAATAAAATTAGTGCCCTAAGTCATTTTATTTTCAATATTTAAATTTTGTATCTTTATGTGCATCATTAGTGACTGCAAGATTAAGAGCAACATGAAAAAAAAAAAAAAAAAAAAACCAAAAAACTTTACCAACTCCATGGTTATCTAGAAAAAGATTACACAGTACATGCCCTTACCTTAGCAAGAAGATGATCCCTATACTGCTGTTGAGTAGCAAAATGCTCGTAACACAAAACACAAGCAAAGGAATTGGCCAGAGGTCCACGTAATGTAATTGTTGGATCACATGGGGAGTGATCAAACCTACACAACCAAGAGACGTAATGTCAGAAAGATTTACTTTCCAGGAGATAAACAAGCTTGCTTTGCTTAGGAAGCTGATCCACATGAACACAAAGGACACAAAAATCTTTCTCTACTTCTCCTTGAGACATCTGTGAAGGGAAACGGCTGGAAGCCCCAAACCCTCAATTCCCCATCTTTCAGCTATCTGACTGCAAAACCTCTGCTTTCTCGTGATCTACTAGAAAGAAGCTCAGCCAATCAGGGAACAGCACAGCATTTAATTGTAAATTCTGCCTTGGGTGATTACTTTGGAATGCTACATCAGAGTACTTAAGATAGACTAAATGCTCTGTCTCCTGAAATTTACTTTTATAGGCTGGATTTCTCTACAACTATTTCAACTGCATTGTAATAATGCAAGAGAACAATCTAAAATTTTACCCAGCTTTCTTAAAAAAAAAAAAAAAAAAAAAAGAAAAACCTATATATAAATTACAAATAGCATATCAAAATATCACAGAACTACTTGATTTTGAAATATTAAACTAAAATTGTATTAGTAAAGATATATCAAACTCCATTTAACAAAATTATTTTGAGGACTATTTACACATGAATAAGACCCTAGATTGGATCTTCAACACTACTCACTACGTAAAACAAAAACAACCTCCCCCACCCCACCCCTGGTGACTAACCTTCAACATATGAGTTCCGAGGATCCTACTTACCTTTTCAAATGTCCTAACAGAAGGTGCCCATTGTCAAATTCCTTGTTACAGTGCATTATAGGACACAAAATTGGCTTCTCAGGCCTCCCCATTCTGCCTCCACTTTGGAATGATTTTCTTTTCCCAGAATTAAATGCATTTGTTTTGAGTCCTACAACATCATAACAAATTCTTAGGTTACTATTTTCAGATAGTTGTGCACTGGGCTGGGGTCTTCAGAATAATGACACAATAATAGAAATTAGAGCATAGTATCAAGTAGGTGGTCCTACTTAAAATTAGGTGTTCAAAATCTTTATTTTTATTTATTTATTTACTTATTTATTTGATTTTTCAAGACAGGGTTTCTCTGTGGCTTTGGAGCCTGTCCTGGAACTCACTCTGTAGATCAGGCTGGCCTCAAACTTACAGAGATCTACTTGCCTCTGCCTCCCAAGTGCTAGGATTAAAGGTATGCGCCACCACTGTGCAGCCTCACAATCTTTCCTAGAAAATAGCTTTAAAGTAAGTACTTATTGGGACACACACACATTCCTGCATGCAAACACAACCCAGCTCCCTCATTTATACAAGTCAAAAAAGCTCTTCCCCATGAATTCTTATTTTCCCTTTAATTTAAACTGCTCACCTCATTGAACTAACTTCTAGAAAATTCCCTGTGATGGAAGTGACATGGAAAGTCAGGTTCTGCTACTAGCTCTTGAAAATTCCAGATTACTCACCCGGAGAAAAACTGCTCCTCGGTGGTCCTTCCAGGAAACTCAAAGAAAGTAACAAAAAAGGCTAGCCAAGCTTTAAAACAGTCTCAAGGGAACACTTCCTACAAAGTGTCAGCACGGCACGGGCCACGCTGATGAACTACCAGATCTCACTCTACATTTTAACCGTCACACATCTCCCCAAGACACATGGAATACTTTACACAATGTTTAATAAATATCTAAGAGCACAGCGATGACCTATCTTGTTCACATTGGGCCAAAGAAGCCAACAGCTAAGTAAGCAACTGTAAAACAGGCCACAGTTGTAGAGTGATATTAGTATCACTGAAACTAAATTTGTGTGTCTGCGCACGTGTGTGTGTGTGCGCGTGCGTGCCTGCATGTACATGTTCACACATGTGCACACCACATGTGGAGGCCAGAAGAAAAGCTTGGGTATCCCTTCAGTGTCTGCCGTTTCTTGGTTGCTTTAGGCCTTTTTGGAAGCAAGGTTTCTCAGTTGCCTGACCTCACTAAGTAGGCTAGGCTGGCTGGCCGGTGAGCCCGGGGTCTCCTGTCTCTGTCTCCTCAGCACCAGGCTTACAAACACATGCTGCCGCCATGCCTGGCATTTTTGATGTGGGTTCCAAGAATCACACTGACATTCTCTTGCTCTCACCTGACCATTGCTCCATCCCTAAAACTAAATTTCACTGTCCTTCATGTTCCCTGGCAATGGGACCACACCCACACACTTTCTACCTTAAGGCTCGCAAGAAGTTCAGGAGCTGAAATGTGATCCCTAACAGATACCTGACATTTTTAGCCACTGGTCCACACACTGTCTTGCTGCTTCTGTTTCTGAATGTCCTTGAATAAATTCCAATTCTTGTAAACCATGAGCGTGCTGAAAATCAAGTTTTTCCTAAAGATAACCAAAAAAAAAAAAAAAAAAAAAAAAAACTTTCAGTTGATGTATGATAACTACTACTTCTTGGGGAAAAGATTTTCTATCATCAGTGATAGAAAAATTGAATACTCTGTATCCCAAAAACTCCCTAGAAATTTATACCAAGGATTACACATATGTCAAAATAAAGTCATGTGTACTGTTCTAAGATGTTGAGCCCACAGCTATTTGCACAAAGTTTGCTACACATTACAACTCCAACAATAGGGAGGTAGATGAATTACAGCACAAACATTTGATATAAATCAATAAACAATGACCAAACATTTTCCATGTTGTAAGAGCATATTTTTGTGGGTCACCAAATGGTGTGAAATAAATAAGGACAAAATGAAGGAGTCATTCATTTCAAATTATATAAACTATACCTGAAAAAGATTTTCAAAAAGGCTGAAATCAAGCTAAATATTATTAAGGCAATATTGTCAAGGAAATATAAAGGACTGTTTTCATCTTTACACTTTTAGACATTTTCGAATTTTTACAGTTTTCCATACAAAAGAGCTTAGTAAATACTTGTTCAATGACTGATGTTACTATCAGACACTCGGCAGCATTCCTACATGGCAGTACAAAGCGTCTGTTACTGTCTGCACTGAGAGTTGGAGTACGTTTCCAAAAAGGCTAAATACCAAACTAGGCTTAGCCCGCTGTGGAGCCTCCACAACTACTCCTCTCAGGCCTATGTCTATGGCTGCAGCATCCGAGCCGCCACAGACAGTATGTCAACAAGTATGGCAGTGTCCAATAAAGCTTTATTTACAAAACCACAAACAAGTGCGTTACGACTCCTGAAGAGACATCCATGCATTTAGCTCTTCCTAGCCACACTTCAAATGGACAGACATGATCAACTTCTTATCAAAATCTTCTGAAAAAACTGCATCTGAAGCTACATGTACTAGTTTTCTTCTTCTAAGTCCCTAAACAATATAATGTAACAACTATTACATAGCACTTATATTTTACTAGGTATGACAATTAGCCAGAGTCAGTAATTCAGGGTTTTTCAGAACCTAGAGAACAATGACCTATTTAGCCTTATAATGAGACTTTCCATAAGAAAGGGTGTACAGGATAGTGTTTTGTTCCTTTGCTTTTTGTTTGGTTTGGTTTGGGTTTTTGAGACAGGGTTTCTCTGCATTGTTTTGGATCCTGTCCTGGAACTCGCTCTGTAGACCAGGCTGGCCTTGAACGCACAGAGATCTGCCTGCCTCTGCCTCCCAAGTGCTGGGACTAAAGGCGTGTACCACCAACGCCCAGCTTAATTTTATGTGTGTATGCAGGCCTGTAGGGCATTTTCTTACTTAGTGATTGATAGAAGAGGGTCCGGCCCATGGCCGGCATTGCCATTTCTAGACTGATGGTCTAAGGTTCGGGTTCTATAAGAAAGCTGCCTGAGCAAGCTAGTCAGTAGCCTCCCTGGCCTCTGCATCAGCTCCTGCTACGTAACCAAACAAACCTGTCCTCTCTAACTTGCTTTGGGCATGGTGTTTCATCACAGCAATAGAAACCCTAACTAAGACAAGGGTAAGTTAACAGAAAAAAACTGACCAAGACTTCAATATGAAGACAATTTTATAAAATATTGTTCCAAAGGACGGCTATAACGAAGTCTCAAGAATGTTGACACGTACATATTTAAATTTTCTAAGTCAAGTAAACATAGAAATACTGGCTTTAACACAAAAATTTAAAAGTATCTTTCATACAGAACTTCTAAAGCCCTAATGTAATAAAGTGATTTTTCAATGCAGAAAGCATATATCTCAATTGTAAAAGCCACCGGTTTCTTACTATATAATCATTGCAGTAAGATCTTCCTTAGTATTAATATTATCAGGGGCTAGAGGGATGGATGACTCAGTGAATAATGGCCACAAAAGCAGGCGGGCCTGAGTTCACTCCCTAGGACTCACAGCAAAACCAGGCATTGGGGCATGTGCTTATAGCCACAGAACTGGAAAGGTGGGCAGGCAAACCACTGGGACACACTGCCCAGCCAACCTCACCTAATCTGTGAGTTCCAGGCCAATTACAGACTTGTCTCAAAACACAAGGTAGACGGTTAGGGAGAAACACCTCTTTTACATAGACATGTGCACGCGCATGCACGCGCTCACACACACGCACACGCGCACACACACACACACACACACACACACACACACACACACTATAAAACACCACAACTCAAAAACACCAAAATGATTAGAAGACATTTTCAATACTAGTAATTTCAATACTAGAATTCTTCAAAAATTCTATTTATTCTTTTTCCTTCTTGGAAATATCTTTGCTTCATTAAAACCAATTCTATAAATTAGCAAATCCCAACTAAATTACGAGACACATACCCTGAATGCTCTATTCTTCTCTTCCTTTTGTTGCTTTTCCACTTCAACATGACGGGCCAGGCGAGCCAATGTTAAAGCAACTTTGTCCTTCTGATGGTCTATATAGTCTTTGTGTTTAAAATTCTCCTACAGTAAGACAAAGAATTTTCATTCCACTTAATACAAAATTAGCACTTAGAAAATAAACATTCACTTACCAGTTATTGTATTCAAGAACCATTCACTTCTGTTGTAGTTCTAAAACTCTTTCGTGTGTGTGTGTGTGTGTGTGTGTGTGTGTGTGTGTGTGTGAGTGGGGAGTGTGAGTTGGCCTCTTGTCTCCTGAGTATGTATTGTATTTTATTGTGATAGTTTGTAATTGATACGCTAACAGAAGATGTGGAGTTTAGGGGAAGCTTGTGTGAGTTGGTTCTCTATTTCTACCATGTGGACTCTGGGTGAATTTGGATGCTCAAGCTTGGAATCAAGTAAAACACTCATTTAAGGGGCTGGAGATAGTAACAGTGGTTAAGAGCACTAGCTGCTTTCTAGAGAACCCGGGTTGATTTGCTGTAACCACATGGTGGCTCACAACTGTCTTTAAGTCCAGTTCCAGGGGATCTGATGCCCTCTTCGGACCTCCAAGGGCATCAGGAATGCTAGTGCTATACAGCCATACACGCAGGCAAAACATCTATATACATAAGACAGCAACAAAACATATACATACACATAAACAAGCAACTCAAAACTACAAATGGGAAAAAAGGAGAAAACAAACAGGCACTAAATAAAAAGGACTACAAAAGAAAAGCAACAAATAAACAGTAAGAAAATATAATAAATATGGTATTAACCCATGGGTTATGGCAATACTCTAAATATACCAATTAAAAGATACACTGTCAAATACTTAAAAAACATTTTGAGGGCTAGTGGCTTCCACAGTGGGTACATGCTCTTGGTACCAAGCTTGAGCATCCAAATTCACCCAGAGTCCACGTGGTAGAAACAGAGAACCAACTCACACAAGCTGTCCCCTAAACTCCACATGCGCCAGAGCATGAACATACACACGCACACAGCATGTAAATTTTTTGAAAAGTAAAAGCAAGATCCAACTATATGTTGTTTACAGGATTTTCCTTTAAGTATAGAGGCACACAGAAATTGAAAACAAAGGGCTAGGGATTTAGCTCAGTGCTAGAGTGCTTACCTAGCATGTACAAGGCCCTCGGTTTCAAATCCCAGAGGCAGAAGACGGTGGGCAGAGAGAGGGGAAGGTAAGAAAGGAGGGACAGAAAGAAGAGATTTGCTAACACAGAGGTCAGAGGTTGACCTCAGATGTCTCCTCAATTGCTTCCCACCTTTTTTGTTTGTTTGTTGGCTTGCTTGTTTAACGATTTCATACAGGTATAGAGCATACTTGGCCAGTCACCTCCAACCTGCTTTTCTACCCCTTCCTGTCCTTCCCCACTCCGCCCTCCTTCTGACCCCTTTGTTCCCTCCCAACTACCCCCCTCCTACTTTTTTTAAACCTTGTTTGTTTGTGACTCACTGGGTCTTATTTTCTTAAAAATAAACAAACGGAACTCTGACAACTAATCTTGAGAGTAAAGTGAGAGACGCTGCTGGAAACTGATGGCAAAGTGTAGTAAGTGAAGCAGACACACACTCCAGCTTTGAAACCTTTCCCAATTTTGAAGTTAGCTACTTAAAAATGGAAAATATTTTAAGTATTTTCTCTTTAGCTGAGGGAAGGTAAGTAACATACGGCAAGTTTAATAGTTGCAATAGTGCTATTAATACTGTTAATCACAAAATTTCCGTTTGAGGGTCAGAAGAGCTAGCGAAGGCTAAAGGCATGGCACAATGGTAAAGCACTTGTCCAGGCCAATCAGAATCAACAAAACAGAATACAGCAAGCTGCTAATTAGAGCAATGTTACCACTCTCTCAAGAATGACAAATCCCACTGCTAGAGGTACAAAGTGAGTAACGGCCACCAGACCTCACTGGATTATAGTGTTCAGTGGTTACAGTAGAAAGCACTGGCCCTGAAAAACAGTGGTTAGAAAGTCTGCCCAGAGATCACAGGAAACACACACTCTACACAGCAACACAGCACATCATCCAAAGAATCAAGGAACCCACATACAAATTTTAGATTATCAGACTCCAGGGAAAGAAAACTTTCCATCACCTTGTTAGCAACTGTGGTGATTTAATCTTCATTGTCAACTTGAATGAGTCTAGGATTGCCATGGAAACGCCCCTGAGAATGTCTAAAGGGTGTTCCTACTGGAGGATGCACTGGCTTTTGTTTCATGTTCCTGGCATTACGGACTGTGCATGCAAACTGTGAGCCAGGGAACCATTTCCTTCCTCAAGTGGATTTTGTCGACTATGTTACAACAACGAGAAAAGCAGTTAAGATAGGAGTCCAACTAAAAGTGAACAAATTCCAGGACAGTTGGAAGCTCTTAAGCATTTCCTAGAAATCTAAGATAAAGGGGTCCACAATTCTCAGGACTCACTAATGACACAATGCTGTTGTGATTTAACTAAGTCACAATAAAATCATAGAACTTCCCATACACTCAGGCTGGATTTGCCATTGGCCTTTGCTTGAATTATCATTTATAGTCTTAAATGTTTTCTAAGATCATGTTTTTCAGGTGTGTAATTTACCAAGGTCACACTAAACAAACTCAGAATCCACATAAGAAAGATAGGCTTTAAGTTTTGTTAGGGATATTAGCAGCTACAGCATCTCCAGGACTATGCTACTTGCAGTACTCACCAAGGTCACCTTGGACTAACTTCTGTATATGATGCATAGTACACCTGAAGAGTTCCTATGGACAGCAAATGACAAGCTTTTGTGGTAGGGTTAATACAGGAAACCCTTAGGGAATGTTCTGGTGAGGAGTCTCTATTTGCACATAAGGAGGTAGGCAAGCAACAATATGCCTCCCCCAGTACTGGGAAGTAAAGCTAGGGCCTTGCATGCTCAGCAAGTGCTCTAACCACCTACACTACATGCAGGCCCTCTCTCCTCACTCCATGTTTGAGGCACAGTCTCCTACACTGCCTGAGCTGGTCTCAAACTTTCCATCTTCCCGCCTCGGCCGCCTAAGACACTGAGGTTGCAGGCGTGTGGTACCACTCCTGGCTTATCTGTATCTCTGACCATTCTCAGCTTCTCTCAGGTCCAGAACGACTGAATTAATAACAACGGCAATAAAAAGCCAAGAGGTTCAAAGGCAGAAACTGTTTAGCCCATATAAAATTCTTAAGACTTCTTTACGCTGTTGTTCCTAAGATGGTCTTCTACAGGCTAGGCTGTCCTCACACTCAAAGATGGCCCTAAATTGCTGGTTCTTCTGCCTCTACTTGCCAAATGCTGGGATTTCAGGTCTGAACCACCATACTTGGCTAACTTCTTAATGTTTTTCTTTTAAACTTGAGATTAAACATGTACAAAGTATCCTGGTTATCCTAAAAATTGTCAATCATATCAGGATGCTAGTTAAACCTGACTATTCATGCCCATGAACTTCAAGCAGAGACAGATAGATACCAGGATAATTTTTAATCTAAACAACAGGAAGACCTAGAATCCAAAGCCAGTTATGGCTACACAGTGAGTCTGAGGCTGGTACAGGCCACATTACGACCCCATAGCAGAGTGTGATTGGTTGGCATGAACAACTGTCTGGTTCATTCCCTACCATCAAAAGCAACAAACAATTTATCCTTCAATGTAGCTCTGCAAATCTACAAGTGGTGTAACTTATGGAGGAAAGAAAGAGAACTCTCTTTTATGATATCTAGATGAACAATTTTAGCCTTGTGACAAACTAACTATGCTATCCTTTTCCTTTTATGGCAGATCAATAACCACCTCACCAGAAACCAGTTCAGACTATAAACTCAAATTCTAACTCTGATGGCATGAGATTCATTAACAATTACCTCCAACGACAATTCTATCATTCAGACAAAATTTTCACCAAGAGATTTATCAAATGTAAGACACAAGATTCCCAGGAAAGCATCAGAACCTGCAACATTTCTAGAAATTGTGACTTGCTATGCAAACTATGCACTAAAGTACAATCATTACATAGGCAAAACAATGAACTGACAAAAAATCCTACTAATCAATAAAGTGATATTACACTTACATTTCAGTATCTTTCTTTTCTATGATATATACATATGTGAAGATAATACCATACCGCAAATCTAGAAGAGTATAAATCAAAATGCCTGTAATCATTATGTCTCTCTGGAAGGTCTCTCCCTTTCATATCTATTTTCTAATTTTCTTACAATGGGGCCATGCAATGAAATTGTTAATGAACCTATTGATGATCAAGAGTAAATGAAGACAGAATGTGTGAGAGCTTTTAATTTTTTGTTGCTTGGAAATACCCAGAGATAAAATGATTGGATTACAATTTCCCCAAGTCAAACAGAAGCGTATTAATTGTGTCTAGGGGCAGCGGTGCACATGCCTGTAGTCTGACAATACAGCAGGCATCTCAAAAGCTAAGAAATTAAGTTAAGTGACTGACAGAGAAGTTTAGTGGCTACTGTTGGAAAGATACTTTCACAGTTTTGAGACCAAGTACCATTGTCTTTTTAAAGCAAAAGACTATGGTTAAAACCAACTGATATAATTTTTGTTTACTTATGTTTGTGCCTTTCTAATATGTCTGTTTTAAAGAGACTGAGTCCCCATGTTAAGTTTCCAATTCTTGGGTTCCAGTGACACACCTCTTTAAACTTCCCAAGTGGAGGGATGGCGCCCCTGCAGCCACGCCCAGCTCACATGTGCTTTTTGACAACATCCAAAGCACATGCACTAACTTTGTATTTTAAATATTAAAAGTACACATAACCAAAGTAAAAGCTACAATTTTTAAATATTTCCTCATCTAAGTTAGAGCCCACTATCCTCTGTCTGCAACACAAAGCTTGCCCAATAATAAAAGCAGATCACTTCACAAATGTGTTTAAAAGGAGGCTGATTACACCTCCAAGTAAACTCTTATTAGCAGTTAAGTTTCTACCAGACTAATAGCCAATGAATCCCTACATAAATACTAACATTCCTACATAAATGCTAATATCCCTTTA